CTCTCTCTCTCCACTATATATTGTATGAATAAATTTATGTTTAATTGGTATCATTTTTAGCAATAAGTCTATCATTTAGGCTCACATAACGACACATTGCTATTAGTTTTATTATGATTTGTTTTCAAATGATAAATTTTCTCTTTCTTTACATAAATACATATAACAGTTAAATTGTGTCTCAATGCTCGTTGACATCAATATTACAATTATTGTTAATATTTAAAAAACAGTATTTGTATTGGTATAATATACATTGTGTAACAAACAATATATATATATATATATACAAACCTGTATAAAAAATCTATATGTATATTCAAATATAATATCTATTAATGATATATATTTATTTTAGTAGCTATAACTCATTTTATTCGTATAATAGCATCTAACAGTTTTATAATGGTTTTTAAAAACTGATTTTATTTTTTAGTTAGTATTATCATTATTACTATAAATTAATTTGCTTTTTAAATACTAAAATAAATTATTATACATTGATGATTAGTTAATTATGCAAGTATTGTGTCGTCAAATTGTTTCAATGCATAAACAATTTAAATTGGCGAAAAATAAAATTGTATTTTATATATTTTATGTAAGTATTGGTAATTAAATTTTAATATTTAACATTTAAAATTCACATTAAATTTATAGACAATTTTTTTTACTAAAAATAAATAAATAAAATTTTCCAAGTTTTATATTATATGTAATACTGTTATATTTTATTTAAAATATTGCAAATAAAATTGTTGAAATAGAATTGAGATTTTTTTTATATAAATATAATTATAACGCTTACAGTTATTTGAATTTAAGCACTTATTTTAATTCTGGTATACAGTTTAGTATTGTATAGTATATATTACAGTATATATAAGCAGTGATTTACTTGTTTACAACATTAAAATCGATAAATATTTGATTAAATGCAACCAATATTTCTTCCCATTTCTCTCTCTCTCTCTCTCTCTCTCTCTCTCTCTCTCTCTCTCTCTCTCTCTATCTATCTATCAATGATTTTGAGTTGTTTGTGGTCTCAACTATTATGGCATTTGATTGACACCAGTAGTGTTTTTTTGTTGTTGGTATCACACATGTATAGGCTATCGAAATCCCTAATAACAGGCATATCTATCACTTTTGATTTGACTAAAATTGTCTTAAAAATTGGTATTTATAATCAATGCACAAATATGGTGGTGAATATGCATTATAATAAATATAAATTTATTTATACGTTAGGATTGCTATTGATTTTTATATTTTACATATAATGCCATTAAATGCTCATAAATCATATAATATAATTTATTTTTAATTAGTTTTTTTGCACCTGTATTAGCTATACAAATTTAATGATAACTTTAAGCTAAATTATTAATTAAAACTACTGTAAAAAAATAAATAAACACTGTTTGCATATAAAAGAGAAAATTAAAAATAATTCACATAAATAATGAAAAATTTTAATAATAGATATATTTTAATGTTATTCTATAAATTATACTATAAATAGCAGTTTCTTTTTCAAATAAAAAATAATAATATCTTTATAAATTAAATATAATATATCAATAAATTTTATATTATGTTTGACTACGTGAGTGAAAATGATGACTATTCAAATCATACAAAATTACTGTATATTTTTTGTTTTATTTGTTAAATTCACATAAAATTAATCTTACGATACAGAGTCAGTATTGGATTCACATATTTGTATTATATATTTCTATAGGAAAATGTTTGCTTCAATTGCTTTAAGGGTTTTAAATAGATATACAAATATATAAAGATATTTTTATGTTGTCGACACAATAGTGGAAAAAACTATAAATTCATTGAAATAATTTTTCTAAAAATAATATATATATTTATATATAAATCTCTAAGATTTCCGTTTGACTATCAAATACAATACATCTATTATAATATTAGATGTTATTAACGTCTATTTGCTAAACTATTTTTAAGGGTAAATATTTTTAAAAAGCTTTTGTCGCTAAAAAACTCTTTATATATATATATATATATATATATATTGTACTATATTTTATAATTAACAACAACAATGATATCACTCATTTTTAAACAAATAATAATTTTTTTAACAAATAACAAATCTAATATATTTCAAAACTCCAATTAATTTAATATACTGTATGTCAATAAATATAGTAGTTTTGAGATAAAAATATTTTTAAAACACGTCACATATAGTGTAAATATTATAGTATTATATATCAATAGATTGTGTAATTATTTTTATTGTATGTATTTTTAATTTTTGTTGATTATTAATTTATTTTATTTTTTTTTATTTACAAATAAAGTAATTTTTATAAGCATTCAGTTAGAAACAAAGTTACAATTTTTTTAATAATTGATTTAAATTAATAAATTATGTGTAATCAATAATAATTTAAAAAAAAAACAAATTAAAATAATTGCTTGGATGAAATCACCAGTATGATTTTAAGCAACACTATAAACAAACATAAACAAAACAAACAAAACCAAAAGAAAAAATCTATTAACAAAGTTTACATTGATTAAATTTTTATTATGATTTTATATGAAATAAAAATATTATCAAAATAATGTTATCTACAGTATAATCCACTATATTATATAATAACTTTTTAGGGACAACAACCACTATTGACAATAAGCATCGTTTGTATATATGATTCAAGTATGTCTTAAAGAGAGAGAGAGAGAGAGAGAGAGAGAGAGAGAGAGAGAGAGAGACTGAGAGAGACAGAGAGAGAGAGAGAGAGAGAGAGAGAGAGAAAGACTGAGAGAGACAGAGAGAGAGAGAGAGAGAGAGAGAGAGAGAGAGAGATATCTTTTATATATAATAATTATCTTTTCTTAATACACGGTAGAGTACAATACAAAATACCAAATAAAGTATGTAATTCTGGTTCTGTATTGATATACTGTATATATAGAAATAAAATATATTTAACTATTGATATATAACAGTACATAATATACAGACTATATATATTGATATATATAGCCGACTACTCAACCAATTTAATTGATTCCGGGAAACACACATTCACTCAAATGATATTTTTTTCAGTGACTATTATATCTTAAGACGACAGTCCTTTAACTGTATATACGATATACACTGTATATCTCTCACTTGAATATGTTTTACTAAGCTATAAACTAGACACACATACATACATACATACACACACACACACACACACACACACACACACACACACACACAACATAAACCAGTGACACTAAGCACCCGTCAACTAAACGTAAAAAACTAATTGACATCCATTATGTGTATTGTATTATTTAGATAAAATTTTGATATTAGTTATATAAAATAATATAAATAATAATTATAACAAATATTTAAGTTTTAGCTTAATTTTAAAAAATTATTTTTGTTATAAAATATAACATTTTTGTTTAATTGCTTGCTGAATTAGGAATTGTTCAATTAAATTGTTAACTCATTACTATATTTTGTCGTAAATATGTTTATATTGTATAAATTCAAATAATAAAAATATAGTATTCAAAATATTTAAAGTATTTTTATATATTGATATATAAAATATGCATATTTTAAACATTTTGTTATATTTTATTTATGACTAATCTATTATATTTAATTAATAATTAATTAACTGTCTAGATATTGTATGTATATAATAAATAACTAATATTTAATATTTAATGTTGTTTAGTAAAAACTTATTTATTAATAGTTAAAAGTTTTAAACATATAAACTTATAAGGAATAGTTTTAAATTTGTTTTTGTTGTAATAATTATAGTCAAGTTTTTATATGTTTATTAAATAAATTTATTGATTTTTTTTAAAGTAAATATATTTTAAAATTTTTTTTTATTAATTTTGAATATCTATTACTATTAATTATTTTTATTGCAAATTAATCAAATTTATTTAAATGTTAATCTAATATAAATGACTAAATGCAATTAAGATAAGTAATAATTCAAAATTATTATTAAATAAATATACAATTTTAAATACTCAATTATTTTAGTTTAATATACAGTAGAAATATTAATAAATTTATTAATTTATACATATAAATTTTATTATATTTTGTTTAATCTAAAATAACTAAATTGGATTATTTTATTTTATTTTTTATTAATAATTTAATAAAATATTATTGAAAATTTATTATTTATTATCTTATTTTTTAATTAAAATGTATATTATAGTATTTTTAAAATCTCAAATAAATTACTTTAATTAATAATTTAAATTATTTTTTTTTGAAAAACCATAACTTCATAAAACTGTTTTATTTTTAAACCATTTATTAAATTCAAACGCTTATCACGTTTTTATGACAAAATATTTTATAATACCATTATATAAAAATATAAAAAAATAAAATCTTTAAACAAAATAAAAATTTACTAAAGGTTTTCAAAAAATGCTTTATATTGTCTTATGTTATTAGTTTGTCATTTCTATAATACTCTATAAAACAATAATTTTTCATTAATATATATATATTTTTTTAGGCAATAAACTAATATTTTTGTATTACTAGATATCTGTATGTATATAGATTTATACGTATATAATATATAATTTATATATATTGATATATAAAAATGATTTAAATTACATTTTAAAACATATTTGACATATTTATTGTTAAATATATTTATAAGTAATATAAATTTTATATAAATATATAAGCCAGTAAATTATAAGTTTTTTGTTTCTTATAAAATCAATTTATAAAACATTTTTTTTTCTTTATCGCAATTCATATGTTTTTAATCAATTATTATATAATGTTGTGGTGTATTTTTTTATTAGTGAATTTAAAAAATATTATATAATAAAATATTTATTGATATATTAAACAATAAAAATAAAACGGTATAATAAATCAAAAAATAAAATAAAAACCTATTTAAACAATAAAATAATTATTAGTTTTTCTATTCCTTCTAAAAAAACAGGAGATATCAGTGAAACGGGAGAGTCCGTCACCGCAAAGTAGTAGTAGAAGTCCGGCGATTATCAATGAGACGGCCAGTGTGTCCGAATCGATCGGTTCGAACAGTACAGTGGCCGATATGATGACCGGCTGTTCATCGAGAAGCGGTTCGTCCAGAAAAGTCGGCTGGAGATCAAAGACATGGAAGGGCCAGAAAGATACGAGCAATGAGGACAATGAGATGAAAAGTCCGGTCAATTATCCGCGCAAACACTCGCTAACAGTGCCGGGAGAGCCGCGACACTTCAGGCAACTTCATAGACGAGAGTCTGGCAGCCGATCGCCCATTGATTCGAGTTATAGCGGCAGAAGTCCTTCCGAAATGAGTACTCCGAGTCCCAGCTGTAGTAATAGCATGTATGATATCACTTCATTATGATCTCTCTCTCTCTCTCTCTCTCTCTCTCTCTCTCTCTCTCTCTCTCTCTCTGGCTGTCTATCTATTTGTTTGTTTGTTTGTCTTTCATTTAGTCTTATTTTAATTACATTAAACTAATTGCTGACACATACTATAAATGATATATATATTATATATATGGCATATCTTTCAACAAAAGTTTTAATACAATTTACTAATGACTAGAATTAGGTTTTAGTTTATATTAACTGATAAAGATATAGTATATTGTAGTAGTAGTAGTAGTTTGTGAGTGAGTGAGTAAGTGAGTGAGTGAGTGAGTAATTGAATGAAATAGTGTGTTATATCCAAAAGTATATAAATTAATTATTAATAGTAAAATATTTTATGCTCTTTTAACAAAATTAATAATTGATACATAAAAATAAATAGTTGATAATAAATTTTCACATTAATCGTTATATATATAAATTTTAAATGCAGCATTTTTATTTTATAAAAATTTATACATTTAACTAAAGTAAATGCTGTATATAAAATTACATTAATATAAATTTTTATGTCATTTCATTTGAAAATGATTAATTAAATGTTTTTTTTAAAATTAAAGTTTGAGTTTAAAAATTAATTTCATTTAGATAGTCATAAAAATTATAAAGTTGTCAACAAAGTTGTTGATTATAAAAAAGTCAATTAATAATTAAGTATAAAACATGAATATATAAAAGCATTTTAATTTATTTCATATATTATTATGACATTATTATTACTATTACTATTATTATTAAAATCATATTTAAATTAAAATTCATTAATTTATTTCAATTTATTATTAAAGCCTTTTCTATAATATTATCTAAATTATTGTATTTTTTTAAAAAATCACAATATTTACTATTGATATATATTATGTTATATAATTATAATTAATATATTATCTAATGATTAATTTAATAATTGGGTTTAGTTAGTACTTTAATAATAATAATAATAATAATCACTTTTAAAGTTTGACATTTTTATTAATTTTACTATTTTTTTCATTAAATACTCTACTACTTAGTTAATAAAATAAAGTTAAATAATACGTTTATTGCATATTTTGAAATCATTGAGTTTGTTTGTATGATATTTAATCCGAAATTTATTGCTTAAACATTTAATTTATAAAATTAGTTTACAAAAAAACTAATGATTTATATTAAATATATATATATATTTTGCTGATAAATATATTTTTAAATGATACATAAGTATAATATTTAGTATTAATTTTAATATTTTTATAACATATTTTTCTATTAGACTAATAATAATTTTACAATTTTAGTGAAAATTTTTATTTACATTAAAATTGTTTTTATAATATACAATACATTAAGCACTAATATTTATAGTAAATACTGTATAAATAATGTACTGTTTATATACTTTACTATTTATATACATTATATATAGTGTATATGTTTTAAAATCTAACTAAAAAAAATATTTTAAAAAATTAATATAAATTATTACTTGTAATGTTATTATAATTTTAAATATAATACATTAACTGATTGTAACCAGTTATACAGAGCATTTGACAAAATCCAATCATAAAGTTGAACTTTTTATTTTAAAAATAAATATTGTTATGGTAGTGAAACTAATTTATCGCATAATGATAAAAATGCCATTTAAAATGCAATTTTAACTTTGTATCTCTACAATATATTTTCTTCAAAATAAAAATTCATAAACTGACCCTAACATATTTAGCATTAATATGATCCGATGCATGTCAAATGCTCTGTATCTCTGATTGTAACTGTTTTATTACTAACATATTTTTTAGCAAAACAGTAGATCCGGTACATTATGATAAACAGTTATTAATGTATTAATTTTGTTTATATATATAATAATATTTATAAACATAACTTTCTATTTACTGTAGATTTTGTCTTGTTTGACAATTGTATAAAATTGTGTGACAAAAAAAAACATTATTCAAAAAATCAAGTATCAATTTTCTTGTCTATCATATTCTATGCCATTATTTATAATTTTATTTAACATTAATTTTACTATAATATAATAATAATGTTTAAGTTAGCGGCAAAATAAAATTGTGTATAACTTTTGTCTCTCTCTCTCTCCCTCTCTCTCTCTCCCTCTCTCTCTCTCTCTCTCTCTCTCTCTCTCTCTCTCTCTCTCTCTCTCTCTTATATTATACAATATATGGTTTATCTCTTGTAAAAAAGCTATCGATATTAATATAGTTGATTGCCTGTCCCTGAAGGATGTATTCATAATAATAATATAATATAAAATTATTTATAGTGTGTGACAGATCTATTAAAAACTTAGTGTACACAACAATAACAACAACAAAAAAATAAATATTAACTAACTATAATAGATAGTTTTGACTACAATCAATGGTATCTATATATATAAAAAACAATAGTGATATACCAGTACACGTAATATGACTTTCATTATTTTCTTTTATGTACAAACGTTGACTAAATTTAATGTCTTATAAAATAGTAGTTAAAGTTTTAATTAATAGTTAATGGTAAAATACAATTACACTGAGTGAGTGGGTGAGTGAGTGAGTGAGTGAGTGAGTGTGTGTTTGTGTTTGTGTGTGTGTGTGAATGTTTAGGAAATAAAAAAAATAAAATAATTAAAATTGACATTAATTTTTTTTTAGAAAAAGATTTAGATGTTAAATTATTAATTAACTAACTAATTACTATTAATTTTTTAAAAAAACTTTCTATATTGTATTATAATTACTGTGTATTATAATAAATAAATAAATTATTATTTTTATTTAAAAAAAATCTTATTATTAGAAATGAAGACCATTCTGCCTCATCGTACGGTTCGGGTACCGGATTGGCCATAGAGTTGGCCAGAAAATGTACTTTAAGTGCTGATAGCCTACTATTGCATACCGGTATCAACAGCGATGAAAGCGGTGCGTCGGGAGTGAGCGCTGAGGAGACCAATGATAGCCAATGTAAGTCATCGCTTAAGCCATCATTTTGTAATACAATTGGTCAGCGAAGGATCAGCACTAGTATTAGCTCAGATAGGATTCATCAACAGTCAAAGGTTTGGACAAAATATAAATACATTTTTTGTAATTAGTTTATCCGGTTATCAAAACATTAATAATAAATTATGTATAAATTAATACTAGAAAGTGATAACTACTTGAAATTTAGATTATCATGATTTTGTATAATTAGTTTGAGATAAAAAAAAAATATATACATATATACGAGATTTGATTTTAGTATGTAAGACAAATATTTAATATTATAATAATATTAATAATATAATTACATAAAACTAAAATAAATAATAATAACGATAGATAAGAGTTTTATTTAATTATATCCTACACACTATACTTCAAATAAATGACAGTTTATTGTGAATTTTATAATTGAATGAATAAATTTACGCTAAGATCTAAATTTTACTATGCATTAGACGCCATTATCCGATAAGTATATAAATATATATATATATATATATTTATTTATTGTTATATATATATATATATATATATATATATATTATAGGTATATATGAGTGGGAAATACGGAGAATAATTGAATAAAATGTTGTCATATTCTGGGAAAACGGTATTTCAAATAAAGAAAACAAAAAAATGGTTTTGCGATAATGTATTACAGCCAACAATTGTCACAACTATGTCAATGTATTAGCAATTTTTTGTGTGTATGTGTCACACAATTTTAAATATAAAAAAATATTGAATATAATAAGAAAACAACAGTTCTAAATAAAAATTTATACAATTTTTTCAATTTTATATTTCAATTTTTTTGTTGGTAAATATCAAAAGTCATATTTTTTAAAGTTTATTTCTCACTAAATCTTATATATATATATATAATGTATGTTTCTTTTAGTGTATAATACTACTTACAGTATATATATATATAAATTGTTTATATATATATCTATTTATATACAAAATAATATATATATATATATTGTATACTATGTAATGTATATAAGATTAGAGACAGTGTTTTTCAGTCAATTTATATAAAAATCGTTCGCCAATTCACTAACAATAACTATATCACAAAATTTAATTTATTTGTTGAATGAGTAGGATTTCAATTGAATCTATTTGTTGTTGTATTAACTTTTTTATGATTTCTATATATATATATATATATATTTATATATATTATTTCAAATATTTTATTATAACCATGAAAAACTTGATGGGTTCATAAAAAGATTTTTTATTTTTAAATTAAGAGTAAATAAATAAATATTTTTATGTACTCTATATTTATATACAGTATATATATTATATACGATTTTTCTGTATATATTTATATGTATACAACTTTTTGTGATATTTAAAACTTGTATTTATATTTTAGTAAATTTTTATAAATATTTATACATTTGATTTTTTTTTATTTAAAAAAAGAGCGAACAATTGAAAAATAGACGAAGTGTTTCACCAAAAAAATTTACGTCACGTAAGCCCCAGACGACAACACCCGATACAACTGAGCCGACATCGGCGGCTGAACCGGTTGGTAGCGGTTCGGGATCGTCATCAACATCACGTCGACGAAAGGGCAGTATGGCGTTTGTCAGTACCGGCAAAATAGCCAAACTATTGCGACGGACGCACAGCGCCGGCTGCTCTAAGGATGTGCCCTCTTATGCCCTGTTCCTCAGCGAGAAGCCAACCGTAAGTGATTTTTTTGTTTAGTTGTATTTTTTTATTTTTAAAAATAATATTATTATTTTTGATTTTATTATTGTTATTGAAATACTATTAAATCTCAAAAAACAAATCTTATTTTATTTTTGCAGAACTTGAATATAACACTATAACAAAATTTTTTACTATTGCATAGTTTTTTATATATTATAATAAACAGTAAAACTTATTTGATCTCTCTCTCTCTCTCTCTCTCTCTCTCTCTCTCTCTCTCTCTCTCTCTCTCTCACTCTCTCTCTTTCTCTCTTTCTCTCGCATTTGTTTGTTATACTGTATACAGTATTATATCATATTTAATTTACTTTTTTTTATTCAATACTATAAACTAATATAAATTGTTTAGCTTATAGAAACACATATATATTTATACGTCATATATTATGATTTAACAAAAGATAAATTACATCAAATTCAGTTGTTTTGAATGTAATACAAGCAATACTTTACTATTTAGGTATATAAATTATACTATAAATATATATACTGTAAATGTTAGAATATATAAATTATACATACATATATACAGTATAGTATAATTTATATATTTTATTAAATAAATAAATAATATATAAATATTTATTTATAAATTTACATCAGTTTTGTTGAGTATAAAATTTTTATTAAAATTTATAACAGTTATAAAATATAATAGAATTAACTGAATCAGTAAAAAAAATTTCTAAATTATTTTATATAACAAAAGTACTTTATTTACATTAACAAAAATAAATAACTTAGAAAACTACTTAAATCTATAAGTAATTATTAACTTTTAATAGAAAATATTTTGTTTTTTATTATATATAGTCTATATTCTGTTTGTTTTGGAAATAAGAAAATTAATTTAATAACTAATAACAATCTAGTATTTTAACATTTACTAATAGTATTTATTACACAATATTTAGGCTAATTAGTTAACTAAAAATGTTTTATCATAATATAAGAAAATACTGTAATACATGAGTTAGTCATTCATATAAATTACTAGAAATATTATTATTATCTAATTATAATCTGTTGTTACTATTAATATTACTATTAATTTATATGCATCAGAAATTTTATATACAATATATATTAAATATAATATAAAAGAATATTCTGTTAAATTATATTATCTATGAATGTATCACTCAATTTAAGATATTATTATTATTTATTATACAGTAATTTGGTGCTAAATATATTAAAGTACTCTTATAGTACTGTATTAGAGAGTATATAACAATACTTATGAACTAATTATATTAAACTTATTATAGTTTACAATCATTTTGTATATTAATTTGTAATATAACGGCCTTTACCAGCGCCTATAAATAACACAAATTATAACAATAATAATAATATTAATATTAATTTTTGATTGTTTATTATTTATATATATTACTAATAATAAACAATATAATTGTTTCAAACAAATTAATTTATTATTTATATTATATCTTTAATAATATTATATATTGAATAACGATTACTATCAGTGACTATTATCATTGAATATTACAGTTTATATTCAGTTATATACATATATAGTATTATCATTAAAAAACAGTAATTTTCATTAGCAATATGTGATTATTAATGTGTATTTACTAAAATTTTTTTTTTGTATTAATGTATCATTGAAATGGCACATATTATGGCATATATTAGACACATAAGTTATAGAGATATTATAATAACACTTTGATAAATGACCTATCTACTATCTATTAATACTTGATTTATAGTATTAAATCTTATACTGTATAAATTATTTTTTAGTTTTTTATATTATTATTATTGATTATTATAATTTTTTAAGTACTCGGATAAGTTTTCTTAGATTTTGATAGTTTGTTAACTTTATTTATTTTTACATTTAGAAATTACTAAAAAATAAATAATTCTCTAATATCTTATATTGTTTACAATCCCATAGTTTACTACTAGTATACCGAGATATAGTCTTATAATATGTGTTAATGTTATTAATTTAATATGTATTTCAATAATTAAAAAACACACAAATCAAATAAAACGAGTTCCGTTTCAATATAATATAAAAATATTTTTAATAACTCATATATAAAACAAAAAAAGAGTAGTAGAGCGTAATATTGTATTTTATTCATAAATATATATATATAAATATATTTTTAGTATCAAATTATTGACTCTACCGACTATTTATAGAATCGTGTATTACAAGCGAAATAAATATTTTATTTTAAGAAATATTGAAATTTAATTTTATACAAAAAAGAGTTTTTACTTTATTTTATTTTATTTTATATTATTTATAACTATTACTATTAAAAATATTACTATAAATATTTAAATTTTTATTATATTTAGTAAACTAACTCATAATAAGCTGGTTAAATATAAAACGATTCACTGATTTTTTTTAAATACAGTATATAATAATATAACTTATATTTTGTATGTTATCATACTATGATATTCATCTATATTTCATTATGGAATATAAAGGTCAGGAAATATGAGTTAAAATTTTTTTTATTGAAAAAATAAAACAAACAAACAAAATATGCATTTTGAGTATATTTGCTAAAAAAAGAAAAATAGTGACATTTTTATTATTATTTTGTTATGTATTATATTGTATGATAGTATACATACATACATACATATATATACATCATTGAGTTATATAATAAACCATTTAAATAAAGTTTTAATTATCACTTTAATTATTTTGCTAAAAAATTGCATAACAATTACAAATAATGACAATCACAATAATAATAATAATACTGACAAAAAAATAAATAAAATACAAAAATCAATTAAAACTCATTTTCTATATCCTATTTAATCCTAACTTAATTGTAATCTTATATTTCAAGCATTTAATGAATGTATTGTTTTTTATGTATATCTAACCATTATTAACCATTATTATTATTATTTATTTTTTTTATTATATTCAGCGCTCCGGTGATGGAAAGGAGCACCAGAAAAGAGGCCGGAAACAGGCGCCGTAAGTGATTAATGACTTTATATTTATTCATATCACTAATATGTGTGTATATTATAAATATATATATATATATATATATCAATATATTGCACTTTATTATTAAAATACAGTATATATATGTCGATTGATTCATTTATCTTAGCTTTTATTTCTATCGACAAACAAACAAAAAACTATTAAAACATTTCTCATATATATACTGATTATTTTGTCCATTACTATATATATATATTATATTATATATTATATATATATATATATATATATATATATATATATATGTCTACCTTTTTCATTAGGCATTTATAAGATGCATATATTAATAATAGTCAAAATAAAATAAAACAGAAGAAGTAGTGTACTATAATATACAATATATACAGTAATATCTGACTATTTATTTCCTGTATTAATGATAATATCCATTGAAATATTGTTCATTATTTTTTTATTGATGATTTGATGCTAAAATGCCAATCAAATTAATATTTCTAACTATAAATATTATTAATATAACCCTTATGTATGTATGAACAGTATATTTAATTAAAGCTTTGATAAAAATATTATTAATATATATATACGGGTATAGACTATACTATATAGTATAAGTTGATTGGTTAAGATATATGACATTAAACCAAGTGATACTTATGGATGGCACTGATTGTATCGTATCCATGATATACTACTAATACTTGACATTTATTTGATATATTTATAGTCTATATATATTATTATATATCAATATAAATATATTATTTATAATACTGTATTATATTTTTATTAAATGCCAATTGTGATATATTGTATATAAATATCATTTTAATTTAATTAGAGAGATAACATATTAATTTTACATACAGTAACTTATTAAATCTAAATTATTTATCTAAAATTAGTAAATGTAAAAATAAATAGCTATTTTTATATTCATTATACAGTGTATTATTTAATTGAAGTTTAATTACACGTGCATTACATAATACATAAAAATAATTAATAAAAGTAATTCAATGAAATAGTAAATGAAATGTAAATTTTTAAAAGATTTGATAAAATATCAAAATTAATATATTTAAAATAATTTACTAAAATTTTATATACTAGAATTTTATTATTCTGTAAAAAATAATTATTATTTACTATTATACAGTACTACTGTAGTAATGTTAAAATATATAAACAGCAAAATATTAATAAATTAATAATAATAATAATAATAATAATAAATATTTACTTTATATATTCTATATGCTTCTATAGCGTCTATAATTAAAATTAACTAATCATAAAATGTGTAATTAATTGAATACATTTCTATATCATTAAATGTTTTTACGTGTTTTTCACTAATGTCACACACACTGTGTAATGTGTGTGACATTTACATTATGGATAGCAATAAATAGTGTGTAAAGTAAATGTGCAAATAGTGTAAATAGTCATTTAAAAAAATTGGTGAAATGACATTTAAATTAAATAAATATCACTAACACATACACACACACACACATAAAACTATACATTTTAATATCAAATTAGATTATATGAGAAAAAAAAACTATTAATAAAAATACATTTTCAGCATTGACTAAATTATCATATTAGTCGATCAATAAGTTTACATTAAACTCTAGGTTATGTGTCATTCAAGTGTCAAATTTGTCTCTCTTTAGGTCATTTCATATGTTTTTAGGTTATCGTATAATATTATACTATACGATACTATAATATAATTTATAAATAAAACTTTCTACCAGTATATATACTGTACAATACAGTACAATACAATGTATATATGTTGTGTCTAAAAATAGCTTCGAGAGACCTATTTTTATATACAAGTGCTATATGTGTGGTGATGTCATATTATGGAAAAAAATTCAATGAATGTCTCTCTCAAAGTTGTATTCAATAGTTTTTTTGTGCATTAAAACCTTAATTTGATATATATATATATATATATTCTGATTTAATAATCTATAACTATCGGAAATGATCAGCTAATAGCTTATATATAATAATATATATGTGACCTAATAATTCATTGCTATCAAACTACTACTACTACTACTACTACTACTACTTTAATACAAGTTATAATTTATATTAATATAATTTATTATATTAATAGATATTTACAGAATTTTATACATAAACTGCAAGAATATATGGTATAATTATATATATATTGCAGTAATTGCACTGTAATAGTAATGTTGAAAAAATCTGTTAATTGTAGTTAAATTAATTGATGAGTGGGTGAGTAGTAAATGTAAGATTGATAGATTGATAGTTAGAAACTGAATGAATGAATCAATGAGTGAGTGAGTGTGTGTGTGAGTGAGTGAGTGAGTGAGTGAGTGAGTGAGTGAGTGAGAGAGAGAGAGAGAGAGAGAGAGAGAGAGAGAGAGAGAGATAGATAGATAGATAGATAGATAGAGAGAGAGAGAGAGAGAGAGAGAGAGAGAGAGAGTGAGAGTGAGAGTGAGAGAGAGACTAATCATTTTAATTAAATTGATTTTTTGCGATCAATCAGTTAAAGTGCTTTTTTTAACTCAATATTTTTTTCTGCTAAGAAAAAACTTTCTAAATATAAAACTTCTTTATTTTGTTCAACAAAATATATTTTTTATACCATTAAAACTAAGTTTATCCGAAACAAAATTGATAATAAAATACATATATATTATATACACACATATATATACTGTATATACCAAAAAAATGGTTAGCTTTTTTCATGTCAACTGTTTTACAATGAGTGGTACTATACTGTACTCTAATTGTATGAACATATGGTTGTGTAAGATATCTGTTATATATATTATGTGTGTGTTTGTGAGTGAGTGAGTGAGTGAGTGAGTGAGTGAGTAAAATATTATTTATTTATATATATAAAAAAGAGGTTAAAGACCTATTCAATGGCATAACGATGCGGAAAGACATCACCACTTAATTGAAGAGAGATTTTATTTTTGGTATTTATTTTTGCTTTACATCGCAAAAAATTAGTGTTATATACTGGATATTAAAGGAGTTTATGGCTTTTAATATATCTTAAGTGATACAACATATGGTTTATAAGCCGTTTTTTGCCGATATGTCAAATGCCAAATATATTACAACAATTATATGATCTCTCTCTCTCTCTCTCTCTCTCTCTCTCACTCACTCACTCACTCACACACACTCACTCACACACTCACTAACCCTCTTTTTTCTCTCTCTAAGCATTATTTTTCTATAATTTAATGATAAATTCAAAAACATCTGGATATTTATGGATAATACTTAACTATCTAAATAAAAGTAATTATAATTATAATAATTAAAGTATTTAGCTTTCATAAAGTATTAACGATGAGCATAGAAATAATAAACTAAATGATTATAAATTTATTTATTTAAAATAATAAATAAAATTTAAAGCCTCTCTTTTTAAAAGTATTTTGTTATAATTATAATAATAATAAATGTTATAGTTTTAAATTTCTATATTTAAATTGTAATTTTATTTCAAACAAAATTTTTTATAAATCTAAATACATTGCACTTTGCATTACTGTATTTATTAACATACGCTACCAACGGATCAGATATTTATTTTGGCACACATTTGACAGAAAGGCTTATTAACAGCAATCAAATTATAATTATTATTTACATAAAGCCATTACTTTGGTTTTATATTTTAATATTAATGTGCAGTTAATAATATGCAGTAAAAATATAGTTGTCTATGAGTTCAAGCATTGGATGTCACTATTATTATTATATAAATAACACAGAATATTCTGTGTATTTTCAAACTAAAAAAATCTATATATATAAATGTTTATATATATATATAGTATAATAGATATTATTTTGTATATATATATATATATAGAAAATCCCAGAACTAAATTAAATGTTTGATTGTATTACTATTATTAATCATAACCATAATGCAAACCAATTGATATTTACAGTGCCTGTTATATCAATATTTGATTTACTATTTGCATTATTCAAATTATATGATTTAGATGAATTTTTTGTGTGTGTATAGAAAAAAAATAAGATTCCAGATATATATATATATAAAGATTTTTGTTCATATAAGTAAAAAATATATTATAGATATATTAAATTTTTTATTCAATTATATATTATATACAAGTATATAACATTGATGTGTAATAGATATCAAATAAATATACAGTATATATAATTATCAAGAAAATAAAAATTTTATTTAACAATAAAAAAGATCTATTTTTCAAAAATTGATAAATAACTTGTCGACTTATAATAAATATATAATCTGATAAAAAAAAAGATTGTACATATTTTTTGATATTTTATTTTATTTATATGATATACAGTTAGTATATTATATAAATTGTAAGTTTTTAAAAGCATAACAATAATGACATTTCTTTATGTGTGATATTTTTAAAAATCAATTTTTATTTATTTTTCATCTGATATTTATATTATGTTTAAATTTAGTGTATACTTTAGATATATATATATATATATATATATATATATAATTTATATTTATTGTATTTATATATATATATTAATGCACTTTCTAAACATTCAATATCTTTTCTATAAAAGAATTTAAAAAATAAACTAAAATTTACATAAATTTCTATTAATATAAAAATGCTATTTTTAGTTTGATAAATATCACCAGCAAAAAAATGCCTTTTACTAATAATACTAGATTTATATATATATATATTTGATTATATCAGCAATAGTTAAGTAAATATTATGCCTAAATTAAATTTTATATACAATACAGCCCACAATAGCAACAACACTAATATAAGTTAATTTTAACTTTTGAGCTCCCAAAAAAAATATATTAATACTATTAGCATTTAAAAAGCATAGAAATAGAAATGTATTGTATATACTGTATTAATTTATTTTTTAAAAATAAATAATTATTTAATATTTAATATATTACTTTTGTGTTTAGTAAATGTCAGGGTTTTGTTAAATGTAATGTCAGAAAAGGTGTCCCATTGTTTGGACAAAATAAAATAGCTTTCAATTTTGTGCTAAATATATATAACCATATAAAAGTGAGAGAAAAAAACAAACAAAATAGTTTGCATAAATAAATAATTGAAAAAAATTTGTATTGATTTGATATGCAAATGGAAAATATAATATTAGATATTTTATACAATACTACATATAATACTATAAAATACAGAATTAATGCATTTTTTTCTTTAATAAAGTAGGCGTAAAATATAATATATATAATCTTACATAATATCTATACATATGTAAAAAAGTATTGTCAATTGATAGCGACATGTGATATATGTGATTATCAATAGACAACTTTATACGACAATAGACTAAAAATTCTCACAATAAGAGAGAGAGAGAGAGAGAGAGAGAGAGAGAGAGAATATTCTATTAATACTAAAAAAATAATTCTATAAAAAAGTATGACTAAAAAATTAAACTTTACATAAGATAAATTAATATTACATTTTATTACTTAACCTGGATGCAAACTACTATACTATGATGTAAGTGCCTATTGTGTGTGCGATTATGTGTGATCTAAATTAAATACTCAGAAGCAGCTGTGATATATTGTATGTATGTATGTGTGTGTGTGTGTGTGTGTGTGTGTGTGTGTGTGTGTGTGTGTGTGTGCGATGATGTCATAGAGTCTAAGTATATACGTGTGCACTAATATAGGAGCTGTGTTGCTATTTTTAGACTATCTGTGGCACAGTTATCACGAATCGGGAAATACTAACGCAATGCTTCTCCTAGCAATCTCTCTCTCTCTCTCTCTCTCTCTCTCTCCTCTCTTATAGCTATTATTATTATAAGCCTAAGCGTACGTTACACTGGAATCGGTTGACTCTTTGCTCTTTACAGTCGTGCACTCGCGTACTCACACAATCTCTCACTGTTTTTCACACATCCCTGTGCTCTACTAAACACACACACATACAGTACACACAGAGACTCTTGCAATAAATGCAAAGTTCATATACGACACTTGCATTACTTACCAAACACATCAATTTGATATAACTGCTTGAAATTATTATTTTTTGATTATATTATTAATAGTAATAATTAAAAAATAATTTAACTATCTAATTTGAATAGTTAATTATTTCATATATAATTGCTATAAATTTGCAATTAAAACAATTATATTTTGGTTTTTAAACTATATATAATAATATTGTGCACACGTTTTGAAAAATCCAATGTTTACATCATTGATCAATGAATTTCTAATGCCAATTGTTAACTCAATTATGTTATGCAGGTATGTATTAGTTTTTTTTATTTAAAAATTTAATTTAAATATATTTGCAATTAATGTATTGGTAATTATTAGTTTAATTATCATAATTATTGCAAAACTTGTTTGGCAACAATTTTTTGTTTTGTTTTCTTCAATTGCTTACGCGTTTCACTTTTAGTAAACGCGTAAGAAAATGATTTTTATAAAAATTAGTTATTTTTAATATTAATATATTTATTTAATTATAAAAATAAATTATTGCAAACAAATTAGCTATTAATTCAACCAATTGATGTCATATAATTATTTGCTAAAATTTTTGTTTATTAATATCTATGCAATTAAAATGCATAATCATTTGGTATTTGTAAATTTTTGTGAATATATTTATAAAAAAATATATTATTAATAATGTTTTATAATAATGTTTAGCTATTCTATGATTTGCAAAAATATTTATAAATTAATACAATTTTTAAATATTTTTAGACATACAAATTTAGCATTTTATTTGCTTTAGTATTATACTGTCTATTGTAAAAGTCAAAATTAATTATATCAATTGCTAATTAATTGAACATTTTGTTTTTTGATTGGCAATCAAAAAAAATTATTTATATATTTATGTTTTGGACATCTCATTTAATTGATACAAACCGATACCCAAAATATATCTAAAAGATTATTATTATTATTATTATAGTTATATGTTAACATTATTATTATTAATTATTTGAAATGTTGTATCTATTTTTTTCTATGCATTGCATGTTTGCTTATTTATATAAATATAATGTCTAATCATTAATAATGTTCAATCAGTTATACTGTAGTAGACAATCAATATAATTGCTACCAAATCATTATTGATATCAAAATATATCCTCTATTTACTATTACCGGGTTATTATTATTAGTTGCAATTATATTTGATAAGCCAAATGTCCAAGTTGACTTTATACTGTATATCAATTAAAAGGTCTATTTATAGGTTAGTAATGTATATATATACTTTAGATAATGTATTAATAATTTGTGCAAGTAATGCACAAAATGTTAATATATATATATATTTAGTGATAAAATAATGTTGTAAGGTAAACATTATTATTAATTTCATATTATCATCAATTTGAACAATTTTTTAAAAACATTAATAATAATAAAAAAATAAAAGTTTATGTGGTTATCAAAATTTATAATAATTGTTTTGCTAACAAATTGATTTTAATAACAATTAACTAAGAAATAAAAAAATTTTATTTAATTAATTTTTTAAAAAAAAATTATTATTCAAATATATTTACAGTGCATTAGAAGATATGAAACAAAGATTAAGATTTCTTCGGAGACGACATACAGATTCATCTATTGAATCATCGGTTCGGCCGTCAAAAGATGAATTGGACAAATGGGCCAACTCTTTCATCGACCTCATGAGCAGTAGATGTAAGTGCAGATGCAAACCACTGTTTGTGTTATGATAAGCGCTTTAACCAATCCATAAGCTCATAGCGCAGCCATAAAATTGGGTTTCCTTTTTAAATGTCAAACGATCTCTTCCGATCTGTGCTCTCTCTCTCTCTCTCTCTCTCTCTCTCTCTCTCTCTCTCTCTCTCTCTCTCTCTCTTTCATTCATTCATTCTTACAATATATCAATATATTTCAAACACAATGTATATAATACACTATTTAGGGTTACTTTTTTAAAAATAAATAAATAAATAGATAGATATATCTATTATATAACAAATAATTAGATTATAATATCCATAACCATACACACACAAAAATAATACAAATGGCACAATAGATTGTTGCCCCAAATAAAATAGTCTACAAAAAAAATATTATTGAGATCATCATTGCATTATTTTCCCATACCCTCCCATCCACTAGAAATAAAAATGATTTTTTATCTCAAAAAAATAGATGATTAATAGTATCTCTCACTAACAAAAAATTTATCTTATTTTTTCCTCTGTTACATATTATCCCTATAATATGTGTGTCGATTATTATGCACCGTTGGTTTTTTGGCACCATTTTGGCACCTCTTACTCTATCATCTCTATCTATCTATTTATCTATCTATCTATCCATCAATCCATCTATTGATGTCTGGGTTCAGATGGAAGTGCATTATTCCGTGCATTCCTGTCGCGTGAGTTCAGCGAAGAGAACATCGAGTTCTGGATGGCGTGTGAAGAGTTCAAGAAGTGTCGACAAAGCAAACTCAGCCAAAAGTCTCGCAAAATATTTGATGATTTTCTCGCCGTTAAGGCACCCAAAGAGGTAATCATTATTTTTTTTATTTGTTTAGTTTTTGTTTAGTTTTTATTTGATTTTTTTTGTTGGTTACATAACTATTGTTTGAAACAAAACAAAAAAAAAGTTTATGGTATTCACTGATTTTTAAAATAAAAATATTTTTATTTTTTTTGATTGATTTGATTGGTATAATAGCAAATGCAATAGCAATTGTGATAAACTATTTATATATATATATATATATATATGTTTATTATAATACTTTACTTTATATTGATTTGATTTTGGTCTATTGTATGCAATGCTACATAATTAGTATTAATTATAATAATTTAATGCAAATCTTTTTTTTTGTTGTTGCAATAGCAATATGCAATTATAGTTAATTTTTCCATATAAATCGTGATTAATTTATTTATAATTATTTCTATATATACAGTATATACCGCAGTATATGCGCTGCAAATTGCAAACACAAAAAAATTAAATAAATAAAGTTTTAAAATTAAATTTATAATTCTATAATATTATTTAAATGTATGCAATCCCTGAAAATATTAGAAGTTATTATAATTATTATAAAAATAGCAAATAGACACAAACAATAAGCTGGTTTTTAAATATAATAATCTACTGTATTATAAATACTGTATAAATACAGTACATTGAATTTCAATGAAATATATTGCACAATATAGTTGTTATATACAAACAGTATTTATCGCTCATTAGACAAAAGTGTCCTTAAATCGGATTAAACATTATGTGTTTGAAGGGACAGCCAAATAATATATATATTTAGTATATAGAAAGTACTTTTACTTATCATTTGTGATTAAATATATATATATTTATATACCTAGAGTTGAGTACTATATGATAAACCTTCAAAACAAAGTAAAAACAAACAAACAAAAAAAACATACTTTTATTTAATAATACTAATAATAATGATCACAGGGACAGGGATTTACACGATATGTTCATTAAGAGCACAAATAAGCTAAATATAACAAACTATATGATATAATGATATTATTATTATTATTATTATTTATTATTATTATTGTTTTTTAAAAATAAATACTAATGCTTTTTATATTAAATACTACTGTAAATATACGGTATATGTTTGTATATTAATAATAATATTTATTTTATTATTATTTTTTGTCATTAGACGCACACTTTTTAAAAAAAAAAATATATATATGATGTTTATTTTTAATATTATTTGCTATTTTCGGTGTCTAAGCGGTTTTAAATTTTGTAATTTTAGCTAAAAATATTTTTTTTATCCATTACTATTTGATTTAAAAATAGCTAACCTTTTTGTTTCAATTAATTAAATGTAAATCTTTTTTTTGTACCATAGAATTTATTTCTATTTTAATATATTTTATATAAATATATATATAAAAGATAAATTTATTTTAAGGTGTTTTATAATACTGGTATCAAATGATACTTTTAAATTTGTATTTTAATAGTGTTTTTATGTATCAAAATTAATATATTAATTAATTAATGAATTTTGTTTTGAAATTTTTTTATATTTCACAATACTTTTCTATGTATTAATATTACTTTGAATGAAGTATTTATCATTAAATAAGTAATTAATATTCATATATATTTCATTGATATAATAATTCATTATATACTGTAAATAACTGTATAGACTATATAATGATAATGTATATAATGACTGTATACTAGAGTATAAAAATTACAGTACAGTATATATATTTCTGCAAACAAACAAACAAATATTATTATAATAAGCATAAAAGCATAATAATAATAATAACAATAATAATAATACTGATATATTGATACTTATAAGTTGCACAAATGTTAGGTGTATTTTTCATACTGTAAATGATAATATTGAGATGAAAAAAGAGATTTAGATTACAAATTCATTGACATTTAGGTAAAAGACAAAAAAGGAAATAATATATATTATTGTTAGAAAATTTATGGCAAAATATTCTTTATATATATACAGTATATATGTTACAGTATTAGTTGTGTGGGTTAGCAAATAGTTTGTACTTTTGAACTTTTGGTGACCCCATTGTATTTAATATATATTCTAATAAAAAGTTTTTATTTAATAAATATCACACAAAAAAATAACAGAATTTTTATAATATTATTATTAATATTTGGAAAATCTTATTTTATAATATTATAATAATAACAAATATTACAGTATATGCTGTATATATTTATAAATATATCTAACAAATAATTTATTTTTTTAAAAAAATGCAATTGAAATTCTACGTAATTTTTAAAATAAGTTTACAAAATAAAATGTTAGGATTTTTTCCAACTAATTTTTTAATGCACTACATTTATTTTTGTTGTTGACTAGAATAACACATATTTAAATATTAAATTTGATAAAATGCATAATATATATTTTTTTAAATATAAATTTATGGATAATTAATTTAACATTTAATAAAAAATAAACTTTATATACAGTATATATTTTTTTGTTTATATAATTTCTTGTGAAAATATATCAATCTTTACTCTCTCTCTCCCTCTCTCTCTCAACTAAAAATTTGACTTATATTTTAAAGTATTATAATATATTGTATATGTAATATTTTTGCTACTATACATATATACAGTAATATGAATTACGGTACTTGTCTAAAAAATATTAAATAATATAATAATAATAATAAATCACAATTTGATTTTACCATTTTATCGAAAAATTCTAATGAAATCAGTTTGTTTTTAAATTTACAATAAATATTTTAATATACTATACTATACATACCGTATATTAGAAATTCTGATGAATTTTTATTTTAAAAATAATAGATTATAAATAAAAGTACAAAATTTATATTACGTTAAAAAGGTTTCAAACAAACTTTTTTATTAATATATAAAACTTTTTTTTGCTTTTTATTTTTTTTCATAAGAATCGCTACTCATCTAATGAGATAATATCTTATCAATGAATGTATAGAAATAGTTTTTAAACATTTTTGTTGTTATACTTATCAGAGTTGTTAGACATTTATGTTTAAGTGTTGACGCATTCATTATGATAATAATCAATCAAAATTCAAATGTATTTTTTTTTGTTGTAGATTTATTGCTAATCACTGGTAGTCTTAACAAACATTTATTTTTGTTTTTTGTTGTTGTTAGCTGTTTTAAATATATATAATTCAGTATAACTATGTGTTTAAAAATTTATTTAAAAAAACCAAAAAAAAACAAAATTTTTAGACTAAGTGCCAGAAACCACACTTATGGGAAACCCTTAATATTGCAATCAATTTGTTTTTTATAAAACAATCGCTTTTATTGTTTTTGTTATTTATATAGAATATATATATATTTATTAATTAATCAACAAAATAAATAAATTAATGCATTGATTTACGTAGAAATTTTTAATTATATTATTAATAAGAAAATGTTTACATAAAAATATGCATATTAAGCAATTAGATTTCCTGTTTATTTGTATACTCGTTTATTTGATTTATAAAAATAGAAATAAATAATATTAATATATTATGAATAATATATATATATATATATATAATTGATTTAAATAAAGTAAAAGCTGACAACACATTTGTTTCATATAATGTCAATTTTTTTATTACAAATTACTATCTGTTTAATACATAAAATTCTGTATATAAATAATTTCCTTATTTATAATCTATAGTTCTATATATATATTCTGTATTTAATATATTAATAGATTATATGAATAATTCCGGGTATATATAAAAACAAAAATTTCATTTCCTCGACTTTTATTATTATTATTAAAATTATTATTCAATCTAATAATAATAATAATAATAATAATATAATACGATTAAATAAATATTATTATTATCAACATTGACTATTATTGTGGTCGTTTAACATTTCAATTTTATTATTATGATTATTATATTATTAAATATAATAATTTTGTTTACAAATCATTAACATAGATTATTGAAATTGAAAATCATATATAAAAATATTTATCGTACGTGATATTTATCGTGAGAGATAAAAGTATTAATTAGAAATTTATAATAAAAAACAACAAAACAAAAACTTTTTCATGCGTTAGCTAATAATATATTATTTAAAATTTTTTGATAATATCGCAAAAAAACAACAACAGCAACAAAATTTATATATTATAATTAAATTATTATTATTATTATTATATCATATTTTAAGCTCAAACATATAATAATAAACAAATTTTGTTTGTTTGTTCATCAAATTTATAGGTTAATTTGGATCCAAAATTAAGGACAGTTATTATGCAAACTTTGGCCACACCGGCCCGCAATATGTTTGACTTGGCTCAGCGCAAAATTCAGGGACTACTAGAATCGGACGCCTACCTACGGTTCCTACAGTCGGAACTATACAAGGATCTGATAATAAGCCACGAAACTACTACAACAACAACAACATCACCAACAACTACAACAACCACCAACACTACTACTACTACTACAACGACGGTGACCAACGAAACGATTGCAAAATCACCGCAACGGCCAATAGTGGCTGAATGTGATGATAGTTGAAGTGATAGTTTTAGGCACAACAACAATAACAACAAATTATATAATCAATTCATATGTATATATATTTATTTAATATATTATATTTAAATTATTTCATTAATATAATGTTTGTTGTTATATGTATTACTATATATATATATTTAAAAGAAAAACAATTTATCACAACATCGCCTCTTATCTACTCCTAGTTCAGATGATCTCTCTCTCTCTCTCTCTCTCTATATATATATATATATATATATATATATATATATATATACTATATATATCTACTTTTTTCAGCACATATTTTATTTATATCATACATGCGATACATCAAAACAGTTTTGGATCATAATATTATCAAATAATTATTAAGTTTAATAAACTATTGATTCTTAAGACTGTTGGATGTGATTATTATAAAATATGAAACATCCAATAAATTTGGACCAAAACTAAATACTCTCTCTATATATAAATGAAAAAAAAAGTTTTGTTACAATTGTTATATTATATAATAACATTTATCTATACAGTTAACTAATCGATGATATTAATGATGATATATATGATAGATAACTGTATGTTTGATAGATCAGTGCAATAAAAATTTGTGTCATTAACTTTTTTTTGTTGATCAAAACTAGTGGTTTTAATTTAAACCCTGCATCAAAATAATAATAATCTAGTGTTTTAAAAATTAAATCATTTTATACAATATATATAACAAAAACGATTGTTTTTTCTTTTTTTAAAAAAATGGTAATACTTTTAATAAGTATTTGAAGTATTTGATAATACAATCAAAGCAAATGAATTTTTTTTAAAACAAAATATAAGCACTCATTTTATTATTACAAAATATTAATCATATTATTAATATAAATACATATATGAATTATTATTTATTATTGATATTTATTTATTGTTATATTTATGAAAATAACTTTTTAATATTTATTATTATAATTTATACTGTATATGAAGTTTTTTTCATTATTTGTAGATTTCAATAATTATTGTCTGTTTATTTGTTATTTTTAAATAATTATTTACATAATATATATAAATTATTAAATGTTAATAATTGTTAAATTATAAAACGTTTAGCATTAATAATAATAATAATACATTTTTATACATATATACACACAACTATATATAAAATAAATAATAATTTCATTAATATTACAAATAACTTTCTAATAAATGTAAAATATTTACAAAATAATATTAATAATGGGTTTGTTTTATATTAAAATAAACTAATAGTTAAAAAACACAAGTTGTCTCTAACATATAATAATAGTTAAAAAAAAATTTGTGCTAATAATTTGTTTGACTATTTATTAAAATTATAAATTGTATGTTTAATTCATATTATAAGCTTGTATTAAATAAATTTTAGTAACTACTACTATCTTATTAAAAATTAATAATAATAATAATGTAAATATAAATTATAAATATATATTGAATTAAAAACAAATGATTGATTGTTTATAAAAAATAAATAAATATTAATATTAATAATTAAATAATAAATATAAATAACTCATGTATTATAGGCATAAACAACATATACCGGTACTTTGTGAACCTATTCAAACACATATAACACACACACAAACCTATTGTGCCATAATATTAAAAAATTTCATTTATACATCAATATATATTGATATATATTTAAATATATATTTAAATTAAGAATCTTACAAAAAAACAAACAAATATTCCCAATAATTATATGCAGAATATTCTAAATATATTATATAAATATATATATAAATTATATAATTATAATTCCAAAAAATTATGTAAAACATTTTTTTTGTCGCAATATTACATTTTATGTGACACACATACACACACACATTGTTTATAGTTAAACTATTTTTTCTACAATAAAACCTATTTGAAAAAAGAGTCTTTAGTTTTTTTTATTACTTTATATAAATATATATAAATTTATATAAATGATTGATTTTGTCGACCGTTTACTATAAATAATTAAATTCATATTGAATTTGAAGTTATTTAAATATTGAAACAACAAAAATTGAATACTAATCGTATACAATATAATTTATATACAGTATATATATATTGTATTAGAAATTATATTGACTTTTACTACTAAATTACTTATTGAATAATTCATTTCATTGATAAAACTACTACTAATATTGACTACTATTATGTTTCATTTGAATAAAATTAAAGCTTACAATTGATTATTTGTGATATTAACATTATTGGTAAGTACAGTACATAGACTGACCACCCAATTTATTAGTAAACCTGTATAATAGTATAAAATTATTATTTTCACCTGTATTTTCCTGTATATTAAATATTATATTCCTGTATGTTAACCTGTACTTAAATAACAATATATTCGTATATATTTATAATTTTAATTAATAAATTTAATTTAGATGCTATAATTATATAAAAAGTTGAAATTATTTTATATTGAACATGAACTATTTTAGAAATATTTATAAATTTTTTATATTTAAAAAAATTTTTGAAATATTTAAACTGTAACTTTTAACTGTAACTGTAAACTTTTAAAAATACAAGCAATTTTTTACTAACAAAACTTAATTCATAGTTATTTTATACTTTTATTAATCAATTAGTTTTACATATTTTATTATACAGGTTAGCCCTTTCCTGTCACCTGTATTAGACACTTTATTCCTGTATAATACAGGCGGCACCTGTATGGGTGGTCAGTCTAACAGTACAGTATACAATATAATATTAACATTTACTATAATTTCATAAAGTGTAGAGTTTTTTTTAAAAAAATAGCTTAAAAAAGTTTTATATTAAACAAATAGTTATATTAAATATTTTCAATTAACATAATCAATAATATAATAAATCTAATATTATTTATAATGAATGTGATTTTGATTTTGATTTTATTTAATAATAACAAAATTAGAGAGAATAATTCAAAATTAACATTAATTTTATCTTTATTTTTTTCTTGTTTTTTAAATACTATATATTTATTTAGTTTTGATAAATTAACTTAAATAAATTATCAGTTAAAATATATTTTATTAAATTAATTTAATAACAATAATATAAATAGGTTAACTTTTTTTACAAAAATATACTAACTAATAAACAAGATAATTAAATACGTAAAACTGATAATATATAGATAAAAATATTACTTTTCTTAATTACAATAATTACACAAATGTTTTATTGATTTTTTAAAAAATATATTATATTTTTATATACTGTATATATCAGCATTTATAAAAAATAATGATATTGATAATTAAAAACATATATACTAGATTTATATAATATAGAGATTATGATTATTATTAGCATTAATATTGTATTAATGATATAATGCTATTTCATTCACTATTTGTATAGAATTTAATTATATTTATAGTATATTATTATTATACAGTATAGGCTACTGTATACTGTTATACAGTGTGTTATACAGCATCATATCATATGATTCATACTATACGACATTATTATTTTAATATAATATATCAATGATATTATATACAGTATATAATTTATAGATATATTTTTAGACTATGTGTGTAAATTGTATCTTAGTTTAAGTACAATAGCACTATACCGTAAGTGTTAGATTTATAAATAGACTATAAATAGTTTATGTGTTCATCAAAATTGAGGTCAAAGTTTATCTAAATGTCAACAATGTTTTATTGTTGTGCTTTGCTATATATTATTATTATTATTATTATTATTATTATTATATATATATATATATATATATATATATACTGTTAGAATGCAAAAGTATTTTCGTTTTTTGGTATTCTTAAAAGTAACTAAGTTTTTCTGTGACTTATTGCTATATTTAAAAAATAATTTTTTGCCTATTATAAACTTTGATATCTAGTCTTAAAATGTATAATTAAATATTTGTTATATATGTTCAAATGGATCAGTAATAATGCCTGACATCACATGACATCTGTTTAAGATATGCCATAAACTATGAATATCGTCGGATAATTAACGATACGCTGGCGGCCTAAAATTTTAATAATGCTTATTCTAAAGCCTTAAATGTAATCTCTTATCAAGCTTAATAAAAATAATAAAAATGAAAGATGTAGAAGTATATTACTAAGAAAGTTCTGGAAAACCATTCAAACTTAAAATTATAAAATAATAAAGAAATAATTTAGATAAATCCAAGATTTTAAAGAAAATTAATATAAGAGATAGTATGTTTTGATTGATTAATTTTTAAAAAACTTTCAGCTGTAATAGGCTAAAGATATGTGACATTTAATTAGGTTCTATTTAAATTTAACTCATTACCAATAGGAAAAGCATATCAAAATATGGTAACAATTATTTTAATTTAAAATTTCAATGGATTTATACCATGAATTAAAATGGTTGATTAATCATTTTATACAGCAAATATTGCTTTGTCAAATTACTATTAGTTTTGATTAATAAGATACTTCTTTGGTGGCAAAAAATTCAAAAATCGGAAAGTGGTCAAAATCGGTGTCAATGAGTTTACCGCTTCAAAAACAAGGGAAGTTGTTAGTCGACGGTATTCAAAATTTTTCAGACAAATGAAGATATGATTGAGAATTAAATTACGATTATATAATTAATAAAAATATAATAGTTTTTTAATTATATAAAATTTAATAATATGCAAATAAAGCGAAAATAGTTTTGCATTCGAACAGTATATGACTAAATAAGAAAATACTTAAATTATATATATATATATATAAATTTTACAAATAACAGATATAATTATTTTTTTATTATTATTAAAAGTACAGAATTTTTTTATGACGTTCAATGGGATAAATTAAATACTCTACATATACTTAAGTGTATGTATTTTTTGTTAATATTGATTTTCAAGTTTTACTAAACTGTAATAAACATTTACACATTGTTTGATTTTTTGTTTGTATTACATGTAAATCAATAATGTTAGAGTAATAATAATAATAATAATAATAATAATAATAATAATAATCTACTTCTTCAAAATCAATGGACTTAAAAAAATGCTAAAATGGATTTTATTATATGCTTTATAGCACACATCAAACACACACACACTGTCACACATTAAAAATAATAAATTATTTTTAATTATAAATATAATATTATAATTTTATCAAAAAATTATTGTCCTCATAAATATACCCATAATAATAGATCTTAGAGGCATAAACCCAGTTGTCTGTATGTTTGTGTCAATGTGTTGAAGTGTCTAAACAATAGGGTCGATGAGTTGATCCAAATGTTGAAATATATTAAACAAAAGCCATTGACGTAAACATAGCAATACATACATACATTCATACAATACTATAATATTCTGTATATCGTATAATACAGTTATTAGTTGACGTTTTCAAACAGATTCTGTGTATTTGCTATTATTATTGCAATTGAATCTATAATATATTCTGTAGGCTCTCACTCCCTCTCTCTCACTCCCTCTCTCTCTCTCTCTCTCTCTCTCTCTCTCTCTCTCTCTCTCTCTCTCTCTCTCTCTCTCTCTCTCTCTCTCTCTTCTCTCTCTCTCTCTCTCTTTATCTCCGTTTCCACTCACACTAACTCATCCCAGTGCTTTAATATTACGTCACACAAACACACACACACACACACACACACACACACACACACACACACACACACACATACTTAAATACATACATATATACAAACAAACAGAGCAAAATAAATTATCGAAAAAAATAAGTTATAAGTAATTGCATCTTATTTTATTGATTAGCAAACATACACACCATTACATAAACCAAAAAAAACACACAAAAAATCTATATTACAGTGTAATTAGTATTTTTCGCACATAACTTATAACAATTGTTTTTATTTATTTTTTTTGTTTTTCTATGGGATTTGTTGTATTATAAACGATACAACAAATACAGAAAACAAATATGTAAGACAACAACAGCAACAATAAAGTTAACAAAATTATTGTAACATATCTTTAGCATATATATATATATATAAGTAATCATCTCTCTCTCTCTCTCTCTCTCTCTCTCTCTCTCTCTCTCTCTCTCTCTCTCTCTCTCTCTCTCTCTCTCTCTCTCTTATCTCTCCATTAACTTACTTTTTACAAAAATATTATAAGTATATTGAAATCTGGGATATAATTTATTTATGTGCTGTCTCCAGGCAACACATCCCGGTGCCTTTATCGCATGACTATGATATAAATTTTAAAATTGTTATTATAATACAAAATTGTATGAATATAAATTTTAATTGTAATTTAGAATATATACTTATATATATTGTAAATTAATTAATTGATAAACATTTATAATTTTTTTTCAATTAAACTATTTTTGTTATTTATTTATAATATTGTATTATTATTTAAGGTATTATGTATAACAATATAATTTACAATTTATATTATAGTAGTTTTTAATGTAATCATTAATATACTTAAAATATTAAAAGCTAATAAATAAAACTAAAAATGCAATATTTATTGATTAGTCTATTGATTTTTTAAAAATAAAAATGATAAAATTATTATTGATAGCAAATATTAAATTAGTTTTAATTATCTAAATAGACAGTATTTAATATTTTTAAATTAATTAAAATCATTTTTTATAAATGTATAAAAATAATACTGTATATTTGTTATTAAATATTTGTATGTAAACTTATTTTTGTTATATTTATATCAAATATTGATAATTAAAAAAAATATTAATCTATAGAATACAATATTTAAATACAATAAAAAAAATTTAGGGTATATTAGATCATATTTTTTTTAGTAATTTTAATTTGCTTAATAACAACACAATTATAATTTAAATAATTATCATTAAAGTTAATTACAAGTTTAAAACCAAATAAAATAAGTATCATTTTATAGTTTACAGCTTATAAATTAGTCAACATTATAGTCAATAGTTAGATTAAATTCCGGGATTCATATTAATAATTAATTATTAATTAAAAATAGTTTAAACATTATTTGTATATTAATATTAATATTATTATTCATATATTAATGACTTATTAACGTACAAACTGTATGAATGAATATAATTTACTAAAAAAACTGAATGACATTGAAGTTTGCAATGAAATGATTTTTAATTTTTTTTTTTTTTGGTTTAAATATTAGTCTCACTATTGAAAAGCTTTACCACAAAGTTTACAGTCATTTGTGTGGTTTGATTGCATACAAGTAGACCACAAATACCATACAATTTGAATATTGATTTTCATCAGCAATGATAACCACAACAACAACATCGACATCGATGACCAAACTTTTTCTATCGGTAATCGTATTATTGGTGGCCATTGTTAGTGGTCAACAACAACAAGAAGAATATGTTGAGCCGGCCATCAATGATGAAGATGACATTCAATCGTTGTTTACCACTGATGATCAACAATTGGGTATAATTTTTGTTTAATTAAAACAAATACAATTAGTATATTGGATCCAATCGTCTTAATTTTTGATTTACATTTTGTTTATCTTAAGATTTCATCGACAATGTGGCTAAAGATTATTTAAGACAACTGAAAATAGCGCACAATTTAGTCGACGGCGACAATGGTTTGGATGAGACATCGGGTTTGAATCGTCACAAGCGTTCGCCACTTCAGTCGCCGCCTATCGTCGGAAGCGATTGGTTTGCCGACAAAGTAATTGATTGCAAAAATTTATATCTATTTAATTTACCGGTAATTTAAATTGTCCTCTAAATTGATAGGGTGTGCACCGATTGCGAGCCATTATACCGCGTATGCCTACCTGTGATCATCCGATTGACTTTACGACCATCAGCTTCAATAACCAGACATATGGCATATGCGTTTCGCAGCCGACCGGCAACCGTAAGGCCAAAGTGAGCGTCGGTCCGCTAACACCGGTCGGATGGCAACGCAATCAAATGACAACTTGGGATCTATCGATACCGCAAAAAGTGGTTGCATTTGTCGACAAAGATAAGGATCTGAATGAAGATAATCTCTTTGTTTTGGTGGCCGATGTAGGCAATCGCGATGGTACTAACGTGTTGGCCATAAATAAATTTAATCGTAAAGTAACTAAAGAGCATCACACTGTTAACAGCAAATACCCGACGGCAATATCTATGTGGAGGTCGCCGACTGACAATTCGCATCATTTAGCAATCGCTAACTCGTACGGACCCGAATCGGTAAAAAGTTTTAAATCGGAAACCTATACGTATACCTGGACGGGAACCTATTTCGATCGGTATTCGGAGATGACCACCTATTTTGTTAAAGATATCTGCGCTTTCAATATACACAGTTACGAATATCTGGCCGTTGCCAACCATAAGGCCGGTCCCAACAATATGGAAGTCGATTCTGAGATATTCCGTTTGGATATCGACACGAAAAAGTGGCGTTCATTTCAGCGAATACGTACGTTCGGTGCCATCGATTGGGAGTTTTTTACGTTCGGCTCAGGTCACCATAGAGAGTATTTTCTGGCCGTTGCCAACAATTTCGATATGAGACACGGAAAACCCAAATACGATGTCAATTCGGTGATCTACAAGTATTCTGACGACAAATTTGTTCCGTTCCAGTGTTTGGCAACTGTTGGCGCCACACAAATCAAAACATATACCGGTCCCGATGGCCAGTTTGTGCTGGCCGTGGCCAACATGCATCAGGCCGTACATTTATATCAGTACAATGGATGGCATTTTGTGGAAACTTCGGTTCAATATACGAGTGGTGTTATGAGTCCAGGAGTGGTATCACTTCATTACGCTTATCTATCCTTTGAACGAACCGGTGTTCTATTTGTTAGTAATCCGCGCCATCCGTCCGGTCATATGTTTCGGCTCGAGTTTGTCTACGAGAATCCATTGGGTGAATGGCATAAACAGAGTCTAGGCTGGTGTGAGGCCACTGAACAACAGGTCAGACAATTTGGTGTCGAAACGTTGATGCCATTGCTGAAGGATACGTTTTTTGTCGACCAAATCGAGCCGATAGTTATCAATGATGATCTTGTTTTGTCCGATCTTGACATCGGTTCACTGACCACACCCGTTATTGTTGATGCATCCAATGGCGATGAACTAAGTCATCGAATAATTGACGAATTGGTCAAATTGGATGAGGAGATCACCAAAGCTCACGCACAATTAGGTCAGCTCATTGACCTGTTATCCAATGCCATGCGTACCGATGGCGACCAAATTATTACTGCACCGCAAACGTTCAAATCGGCTACTTTTGAATGTCGGCCAGATATGGACTGTTATTTTCAACGAATCGACACCAAAGTCCTCAACAACGATAACATTGAAGGATTGGCCGCAGATATTGTACCGCTAAATGTCGACCAAAATATTCAACAGCCGATGCACTTTCAACACATGAAAGTTGACAATAATATCATATTAAATGGTTTGCTAAATGACGTAAACACCGATACTATTGTCACTAGAAGTGGTAATCACGAAATATTGGCGCCCAAGACATTTGCCAAAGATTTGAACGCTAAACAAGTGGTTGTATTGAATCGAATAAATGAACAAATTATAAATCCATCAACAGTTTTGTTGACAACTGGCGACCAAATTATCAATAATAGTATTACATTTAAAGCTGGTGTACGTCTAAACAGTCTTCGTGTGAACGGACCGGTCAATGATATAAATATCGACAAATTTTTCAACGAAATGGTCACTAAAGATGACAATTATATTATAAGAGGACAAAAGGCATTTAACAATCTAGATCTTAATGATCTTATAATGGCTAACGGCTCGACAATTGATGGCATCGATATCATGGAATTATGGAAGAATGTCTTGTGGACATACGGTGATGAAGAAATTTCTGGACAAATTGATTTCACCGATATTGTTGTCGGTAGAAATCTTATGGTCGATGGACTGATCAATGGCGTCAAGATTCCCAGTGATGTTATATTGACAAATGAGAATACGTTCATAGCGTCGGCCAAACAATTTCTGAAGCCGACACGTTTGGATCGGACAGAAGTGTTGCATTCGATCAATGGTATCGGATTGGTTAACGGCAATTTGGATATCATGTCTAAGACCCGGGAACAAGTGGTTTCGGGTCCGAAAACATTCAATACAATACATTTGAACGGTAACAATCTGGTCCGTGGAACTGTCGATGGCGTTAAATTGTCATTATTTAAGCGATTACTTTTGACCCGAAACTCACCGCAACATTTCAATAACCTGGAGATCCGTGGCGACGCGTTTTTTGATGGCGGACTCGCTGTCCGATCGACGATCAATAATCTGAAATTGGATGATCTCTACAACAAAGCGTTGAAATTGACTGACAGTCGTATCGATGGCTTTCCACACTTTGAGATGAATAATGTTTTTTTCGCCGGTCTTCAGAGTCAATCAATTAATGGACTGAATATTGGTATTTATTAAAAAAAATTAAATATTTTTTTGTTGAATTTTGATTACTAATTAGTCTGAAATTATTAACAAAAAAATAGGCAAAGATTTGGTGACTAAGAATACAGCGCAAGTAATCACTGGCCACAAGATATTTGCCAACGGAATCAAATTGAATGACAATATTAATGTCAAACAAATAAACGGAATCGACTTTGACTTCTTTGTTGGCGACACTCTACTCAATAATGGTAATCAAGTGATCACTGGAGAGAAAACATTTTTGAATAACTTGTTGGTCAAGAATTTAAAGACTAATAATATTAATAAAATTCCAATGAATGACATTGTTTTGTTAAATGGAGATCAAGTGATATCTGCGCCCAAAACCTTCACTAATGTCCAAATATATGGTGATCTTAATACCGAAAGCTTTGATTCTCAACTTATAAACGACGTTCATATGAAAGATCTGTACGAAAATACTCTTCAATACGACAAACCACAGACAGTGACCGCACGTCTTAATGTCGACACAATTATGATTCCGAAACAAACAAATTTTGGAACAAAATCTATAAATGGAGTCAATCTAAGAGCTCTTATGTCTGATGCAGTTGTTGTGGATATTCCTCAAGTGATTGTCGGTCCAAAAACATTTGTATCGCCCGTTACTATTAGTGCCGTTAAATTTCTCGACAATTTCGATAATGTGACCGATTATGAGCTCAAACACAACTGGCTTTTGCAGGACATGAAACAGACAATCAATTCTAATATTGTTTTTGAACGAAATCTTAAAGTGGATGACAATATCCGAATGAAGAATCCTATTATTAATGGAATTAATCTAAATGTTGTCAATAATAGTACCGTAAAATTATTTGAATCGGCAATGTTTGAGAAGGACACACATTTTTCAGGACCGGTACACTCAACTGGTAATGATTTAGTTAATAGTTATTAAAATTAATAACATTATTATTAAATTAATATTTTTCATTTGTTTATATATTAGGACACATTAAACTTAAGGGACGAATTCAGGGAATAGATTTGGACAAAGAAGCAGTTGTTCTCAATGGTGATAATATAATTAATGGACGAATTCATTTTGTAACGGGTTTTAGCGGTAATGAACACCTATATGTCAAAGGAACTGTTGATGGAGTAGTAGTTGAAGACTTGTGCCGTACAACTGTCCGACAAAATCAACAGAATTTATTTGGTCCGACACAAGTAACCGGTAATGTCTTAATAAAAGGACCGCTAAATCTCCGGTCAGATGTCAATGGAGTCAATATCGATGAGTTTATCCGAAGTGTACTTAAAGTTGACGAACCATCGAATGTCACGGGAATCAAACATTTCCGAAAACTTGTTATCAATGGACCAATTATTGTCAAGAAATCTGTGGCTGGATTTCGTATCGAAGATTTTGCCAACAATTATATGAGTTTAACACGCGATCAAACTGTTGGTTCACAACTGGTTTTTCTCAATGATTTAAATCTTAAGAAAGGTCTTAAAATAAAGGGAAATATTGTGACACAAAATGCAACCATCAATGGTATTAATTTGAAGGAATTTGATGCCAATGTTTTGAAGACATTTGGAGATCAAGTAATTACTGGTGACTTTACATTTGAAAGCGATGTTTATTTTGATAAGGATTTAAATGTTTTGAATAAACGCATTAATGGTCTTCATTTGGTCAACGATTTAATGTTAAGAGGAAGAGATAATGTGATTACAGTTCCAAAGATTTTTGCCGAAAACATTGTCGTCACTAATAATATGATCATAAAAGACGGCAAAACCATCAATGGTGTGGATCTGTCAGAAATGATGAAGAATGCAGTCATGAAAAACAATGCCAATAATAATATCATTGGACCAAAACATATGAATAGTATAGAAGTGGATCACTTGATAGTTAATCTTTTAAATGGATTCAATGTCAGCGAAAAAACTTTTCTATTAAATTATGGAAATCAAGTGATTATCGGAGAAAAAATATTAAATCATGATTTGAGAGTCAATGCAGACATTATTTCAAAGACTATTAATCACATAATAATTGGAGATTTGGCACAAAATCTTGTACTCAAAGGATATAATAATTCAATTAATACAATAAAAACATTCAAATCTCCACTGACTGTCAACAATGTCCGCGCTTTTGGTAAAGTCGATGGCGTAGATCTTAACGAACTTCACTACTTTATTGGACTTCCCTTTAATCTGAATGACTTGAAAAACAAACTCGACTTTGAGGACAAACAGATTGGTTTAGTTCAACAGGCATTGGATCAACAAAGCAATCGATTGGCTTACTATGAATTGAATGCTGTCATCCCATTTGGTCCACCACTTCTGTCGTATCAAAATACACGTTCACAACATCTGTTTATTGTCGGTCAGTATCTCAACAATGGATGTCAAGAAATCAATATTTACACCAATACTGTCAGTGGCTATAAATTGTTGACAAAACTATACGCTATCGATACCAACATTATAACAAAATTTGTGTCAAATGGACATCACTTTGTCATAGTAGCCAACTCTAGGAATGTTCACAATTGGGAACAATGTCTTAAACTTAACAAAATGACTCAATTCTTACAATTCGGAAGCGGACCACAGATTAATCAATTGTTTGTCTTCGATGGCAATCAAAATTCATATAAAATGATTGCTTCAATACATAGTCAAAGTGTTTCCGATATCAAAGTTATCGATGAATATAATAAAAATGCATGTCTTTTGATGGCCACACCTGTAGTCAACGGTTTGTTAAGTCAATCGTCAGTTTTGTGCCGCAATTTTATTGATGGAAAAATATTTCTGAAAGAAATGGTTCCATTGCCTGGAAGAAATCAGGTATAAATTTTTGAAATGTATTAAATTTTTGTATTTATTTAACTTTTATTTTTTTTATTTAGTATTCAATTGTTTCGAGTACTACATATAATCGCACTCTAATGGCTTCAATTAATTCGTGGCAAACAAGACAAGTGATGTCAGACATTGTGATCAGCGACTGGTCGACACAATTGTCTCATTTTGATCATTCCTTTCAAACCATACGATTCCTCAATCCCTATGCCATACATTTTGTCGAAATTCCTTTACAATCAATGTTTTATTTATTTGCATCGGAAAGGAGTACATCGCTGACACACAAACCGATGGTCAGAATCTATAGATATGCATTAGGTCTCGACAAACAACTTCTGGAAGTGCAACAAATCGTCGACACCGAAGTCTTTCAAATAGATACGGTCTTATTGGACAACAAAAGAGTTTTAGTAATACTGTTGACAACAGATAGACTATTAGTCTATGAATTGAAGGGAGCGTCGGGTTTCGTCCAAATCCATTACATTGACGCCCAAAATGCTAACAGTTTTGTTGTGTCCAACTATTTTGATCAGTCAAACAAAGTTGTCGGACATTTGATTGCTATTTATTATAAAAAATGTTTCGCCAGAAACAGTGATAACTGTCTTAAAGAGACACATGTTTTACATTCAAAACTCTTTCATAACTAATTGTTTTTAATTTATATAATACTATATTTTACTTAATTGTGATATTTTTAGACTCAACACAAAACAAAAATAATTTAACAAATATTTACAAAAAACTTTATTTATAATTTACCGAAAATTAAATTTTTATTAATTTATAATTTGTTATTTATTTTAATTTAATGTTCAAATGAGTTTTTTTAAGGATTTGTTTAAAACCAATGATTAAAAAAAGGAATAATAGGGTATATAAATGATTATTATAAGTATAAAATAGTAATAAAATCTTAAATTATTCACTTTCTAAGATCCAAAACAAACACCTGAAATAAAAATATATAATTATTATTTTAAATTAATATTTATATATATATAGTATATATTTACCGATCCATCCGAAGCACTGGCGCCAACTTTATCGCCTCTGGCATTCCAGCACACCTCGAATATACCTCCCGTTCCCTTATATGAATGCACTAATTGTCCGCTTTGTGTTGACCAAATGTGTACACACTTGTCGAAACTGCCCGAAGCCAGAAAACGGCCATCCGGACTAAATGCTACCGAATATACCGGTTCCGAGTGTTTGGTAAGGGTGTAAATACAGGTTCCTCTCTCTACTTCCCACAGTCTTACGGTAGAATCAAACGAAGCCGACGCCAAAATGAGCGGCAAATTCGGATTATGAGTGTTGGGTCCGGTGGGCGACCATTTTATTGTATAAATCTCTTTTTGATGGGCCTGTAGATCATGAACACAATTGTCCTCTTTCATGGACCATATCTTCAGAGTCATGTCGTCAGAACACGAGGCCAACAGCGAACCCGATGGACACCATTTGATGGCATTCACTTCGTTTGAATGACCTCTAAATGTTTTGATTGGTTTGTCGGCACCCAATTTACAGACATGAATACACATATCGGTGGAACAGGAGGCAAACGATACATTGGTTTGCCAGTCCACGTCCAGTGCCGGTGCCATATGATAGGCAAACTGTTGGGTACACTGACCGGTAGATGCGTCCCATATGATTGTCTAAAAAAATATGAGAAACAAGTAGTGATAATGACTATAATTTACGTAATTATGAATATTGTCGAACCGTTTTGTCGACTCCAGCGCTCAAAATATAGTTTCCTTTTTTATTCCACTTCAGAGCAAATATTGGTCCCTTGTGTTGGCCAAGAGTTGACGCCAGTCGGCCATCAGTAGTCCAAATGCGTGCAAATCCGTCGTAACTGCCGGTGGCCAGTAGTGTTCCGTCTGAATTCCAATCCAATGAAGTCACGTCTTTATTCGACGGAACTTCAGTGCCGCTAAATATAAAGAAAACAAAGAAAACTGTTATATAAATTGAAAAATGTGATCATATTTTCAATCGGTACCCCTTTTGGATGCAATGTCTCAAAACAAGTTGTTGTGCTGTTTGTGTCGATTCACTCATATTCCAGATTCTGGCCGTTGAATCGCCCGAACCCGAGGCCAACAAATCTGAAGCCGGATTCCAGGCGCATATGAATACTTCGCTTTCGTGTCCACGAAGAACAGTGGCCCGCGACGCCGGTATCTCAATATTGTTTGTCGATTCTTGTAATGTGTTCGCAGCGGCGGCGGTGGCGGCAGTAGCGGCCGGTTGTTGGGTAACCGGCGTATTATTATTGGCGTTAGCGTTAGTATTTGCTGCGGCGTTCGGTTCGTCAGCCGTTTTGGTTGCATTGTCTTCACTCATGACAACGTCCTTACTTTCGGCGACAGCTCGAGAGTTGAGCTCTCGTTGGCGAGTAATGACCACATCGGGCATTACGGCATCGATCAGTGATAACGAATCGATTTGTCGTTCGACACCGTCTTCGCCGATACTGATCTCGGCTTCGGTAAACTGTAGACCCTTTTGGATGATCGACAGCAAAGCGGCCGGCGGTACCAGAGCTCCGTTGATATTGGACTGTGCGATATGCGACTCAACGCCGAAAACGAAAGCCGAATGACTGAAGCCGGACTCCTGGAGATACCGGTAGACCAAAAAATTTACCTAAAATATGATAAAAACAAAAAGATAAAGACAATGAAGAAGAAGAAGAAGAAGTAGAAGACGAAGAATAATAACTTTAATTATCACTCAATTTGATACCTCATCCGATGTAAAACTCATTGTGCGGCCAACAGATTGGTATCGTCGACCTCGAGTTTGTCACCAAAAAAATAAAATAAACAAAACAATATCAAAACCAAACAATATTGTCTGATCCAAACCAGTGATGACACTCTTTTGGCCAACACTTCCAACAAACAGACAACAATCCGCTGACAATCAAATCAATCGGTGATTCAATCAATCAATTGTTGTGTAAATAAAATAATAAATAAATAATAAGTTTTTTTCTGATTATTAAAAATAAATTAATGAATGAATGAATTGTTGTTTTCACTGCAATGCTATGTATTTTCATTTATTATAAAACACTCAATAAATATAATAAAAATACATTGAATTAAATATGAAATAAATATATTAATATAGACTTCAATAGTGTTCACACAATAGATGGCGCTATCGTTACAAACATTTAATGTATTATAAATCAAAATCTAATAAAAAATATTTAAAACAAACGTAACACTCGATTAACAACTAATTAATATTAATATTGATTCTACTATTGGATTAAAATATACATTAATTGTGTTTAATATGTTTTAAAGGGTTATAAACTAAAACATGTATTAGTGTTACGTTTTTTGCGATTAAATAATTAGTTTAATACACAAATTATTGGACGTATTTTGTGTTTGACTCCAAACACGCTTACAGTCAGTCAGTGTTTAGTAAAACTGTGTCTCTGAAGACTTCCTTTTCCTTTTGAAACTATGGCTAAAGCGATATCAAAGAAGCGAAAAGTAAGTGTCATTTACCGCCGTTGATGGCCATTGCCGTCACTGACCGACTTTGTTTTGTGTCCAGTTTGTAGCCGACGGCATCTTCAAGGCTGAGTTGGACGAGTTTTTGCGTCGCGAACTGGCCGAAGATGGTTACAGCGGTGTCGAAGTACGGATGTCTCCCGCGCGCACCGAAATCATCATTTTGGCCACTCGTACGCAATCGGTGTTGGGCGAGAAGGGCCGCCGCATTCGCGAGTTGACCAGTGTTGTACAGAAACGGTTTAACTTTCAAGAGGGCACCGTTGAGGTCAGTAATTAACTTAACCGCTCGAAACTCATGTCTAATGTTTCTTATTTTTGTTTTCATTGACCAACAGATGTACGCCGAGAAAGTATCGGACAGAGGACTGTGCGCTATCGCTCAGTGCGAATCGTTGCGATACAAACTGATCGGCGGTCTTGCCGTTCGCCGGGCCTGCTATGGTGTCCTGCGATTCATTATGGAATCGGGTGCCAAAGGTTGCGAAGTTGTGGTCAGCGGTAAACTTCGTGGACAGCGGGCCAAGAGTATGAAGTTTGTGGACGGATGGATGATTCATTCCGGTCAGCCCACCAACGACTACGTAGACACTGCTGTCCGACACGTACTTCTACGACAGGGAGTGTTGGGTATTAAAGTAAGTCAACCATCAGTTTATGGTCAAAATTGGTAGATAATAATAAATTTGTTTTTATTTAAAAAAAATAGGTTAAAATCATGTTGTCGTGGGATATCACCGGCAAAAAGGGACCGAAACTACCGCTGCCCGACAACGTTAACATTGTTGAGCCCAAGGATGAGACAGTACCCGCTCAGCCCTATTCCGAGTCGAAGGAATCGGCCAAACCTGTGGTTCCCGTCGTTGTTTAAAAGAGACGATTTTTGTTTAACAATTAAATTGAATAAATAAAAAAACATTTAATTAAGAAAATAATTTTTATTTTATTTATTAATTATTCGAAATTAACATTATATTCAATCAAATGTTATATAATATGCTATCCAATGGTTTTGAGATTATGACCCAATGTTTTATATAAATAAATAGATCAGATTTATACTGTATATTAAGGGTGTAATTATTAGTAATGAAATTGTTTGAAATTTTTTAAAAATCATTTTTTAAGTGCCAAAAATTGGCTATTATTAGTACCGGTAGTATTATTATTATTATTAGGCCTTTTAATTTCTATTGAATATAATAATTGATACTCTCCCTATTTAAATATACAGTATATATATATAGGGGTCATAATCAGAAAAACCAATGGATTTACAGGTAATTGATTAGTCAATAACTTAATTAATTAATTAATTAATAGTAATTTACATCTAAATAAATAATAAAAATTAATCTAAAAAATATATATAATATATAGTAAATATATATATATATAATATTTAAAATAAATAATATCAATTAATAATAATATATAGTACTGTATACTTAGATGAGATTGCCATTAAAAAAATACTAGACATCATCGGTAAGTTTGGCCACTTTAGGTCGACCTCTTTTAGGGCCTACAGACGCCGTTTCAGTAGAATTGGTGGCATTGTTCTCATTGCATGCAGTTTTGGCTGATTTACCAAACGAAGCGGCCTTTTGTCTCAATCTTCTTCGCTTTTCACCAATCGATACATTATTCGATTCGTCGCTGTCCTCCGAGTCGTCTTCGGCGTCCATTCTTGTCGAGACATTGAGTCCACTCGATGTCTTTGTCGATGCATTGATAAACTCTTTGACCAGATTATCCATTTTTGCTTTACTCAACTCGAATATGTTGTCCTGAATCTGATCCAACTGTTGTAAGTCGGGAGTGTCGTCAGTCAACTCCTCTTTCATTGTGCGATACTTTTCGTGAATGTGCGACAATTCGTCAAACGGTGGATACAATGAAGTCTATTATTGTAATAATAATTAATTAAATTAATTAATAAATAATTAGTTGATATGTGATGTCCAGTAAAAAAATCCAAACCTTGAATTGATCGATAAGAAAGTCGGTTTTGGTTTGTGTTTCGCTCGTCACCCGACTGTTCCTTATGTATAGCGGACCCATCAATCGGGAAACGTGAACGAAATGGACGGCACCGATAGCCAACATCTTATACCATACGTAACACACGTCCATCTGTTCCAACTCTTTGCAAGTCTGGATCAGACAACGAATTTGTTCCAAATAGGAAAAGTTAATTCTGATCTTTTGTTTGGAGGTCGATGTCAACGATGAGTTGTCCGACATTTTCGGTTGTTTACAATACAGAGAATACAACAGATAGAGAGCGCAAACCCGTCGCTCCAATCGGTGGTCATCGGAAACATTGGGCAAAACTTCGACAAAGATTTCGTCGATAAATTCGCGCAATTCGTTCACATTTTGGCGAAGACTAAAGACATAGGAAAAGTTCATTTGACGCCACAGTTGACAGAATCGACTGAACCGAAGTGACACCACTTTCGGATCGGGCTTTACGTCTAGACCGGCGTCGGTCGCAGAGATTGTTGTCTCATTTGTTGGCCGATCGTCTCCATCGTCGCCGCTAATGAACCGACTGAACAACGACTCAATGTCTTGTCGAAAACCGGCGGCAATAAATCGGCCACTCATTGATGGCGTGTGTCTTCACTTCGGATTTGATGTCTTCGGGAATATCTTTGAATAAAAAAACTAAAGATTTCTTTCCCTAATAAACACTAACCAATAGATCACGTGATTAACACATTTAATAAATGTCTATAAATGACGTCTAATGTCATAAATAGCTTAAATTACTTAAATTTATAGATAATTATTATTTTTTAAAAATTTAAAAATACTTAACAATTTGATAATCAAATGATTTATTGGTTAATATATGTAAAAAAATTTTTTTTTGATGATTTTACGTACAAATAGTAAATTCATATATATTTTTTTGTTTTTGAATATATTGTATAAAATAAAAAGGATTTAATTATTTAAAGAAAAACAATTTTATTCGTCATTTAAGTTGAATATTAATAAAAGTTTTAAATTATATTACAAAAAACTATTAAACTCTGAAGTGATTTAAAAACATTTTTCATAATTATATTTTTTTATGATAATAATTAAAATAATAATTATCATTTTACTTTAATTATATTTAATTACATTTTTTATATATTTATAATATATATTACAATTCTTCATGAAAATTAAATTATTTAAATTATCAGTAAATGGTTTATATATACTTTATATTATAATTACAAAATAAGCATTTCATAAAACAAGCCTAAAATAAAATTAATATATATATATAATAATAATAATAAAATAAATAAAAAATAAACATTTATATATGTATACTGTATATCAAACAAAATAACAATTATCATCATAATATTAATTACCAATTGAAATTAAAAAGAGATAATTGTAATAATAATTAATAACCATAATGTGAGGTAATACATAAAATTTGTATATATATATAATAAGACCATTGGATCAATTAATTTTACATTGTGTGTCATAGTTATTAAAATAATTAATTATTATATATCTTATAATAATAATAATAAAATTTAAAAAAAACCAATTAACACAACACAAACAATTAAATAGTTTTAAAAAAAATTAACAAAATTAATGATATAAATATATATACTGTATATATAGCAAATTAAAAATCATTTTTATAAATAACATTTAAAAAAATTATTTATTAAAATTGATAATCCATTGGAATGTTTGCCACAACTGTATTGTACATCACTTTTAAGATTAAACTTTTTTGTTTTGTTTTTTGTTGTCATTTTAATTGTGGAAGATTTCATATCATCAATAATAATAAGATATTGCCGTCAAATTAAAAAGCTCTCAAAGTTTACTAAAATATATATATAATTTTCTCTTAAAAAAAATATAACCCTAGAGATGATGATCACATTTAAGTAAATTATTTATAAATTGTTTTCAAAATATTAAAAATACGTGACAATTATTTGCTTCAATTTTTCAACAATAAACATCAAAATTAACATTAGATATACTGTATATATAAATCACTTGAGTTATGGGATTTTTGATTGATTTTTTTGTGTTTTGTTTCGGTAAAAATTTTTCAAAAAAATCAATTAAATACTATTTATCAAAATCTTATGTTTGATTTTGTCAAACATCACACTATCTTTTTGTCGCCGATTTGCCGACAGTCGATGGTTTGACACCTTTTGATTGATTTAATAATCCGTTTTGCGAGTTATCTATCAAATCAATCAAACAAATAAAACAAAACAAAATATTAATATTATGTGTCGATTCAATTAATATTATAAATAATACATACCATCACTGGTCGCCAACTTTGCCGCTCTAATGGAACGACCTCTTTGGTCAATCTTCAGTTTCTCGGGCTTTACAAATATACCGTATTTTGGCTTACATTTGAAATAAACGGTTCCGTTGACCGAACCGTCATTTTTACCGGTAGGTGCGTCCAACTCGACGCCCACCCAAACGCCCGGTGCAAAATCGGTTTGCCCGACATAGGCCACTACACCAACTTTCGATTCGGGACTGATTCGTACACTTTCGCCGACAACCAACCAGTCGGGTATTGAAACGGCCGTTAGCTGAGAGTCCGAGTTATTGGCCGACCCGTTATCGTTGCGACTGTCATAAGAGCTAACACTGGATGCGTCGCTTGTATTGTCGACATTAAGTAACAATGAATTATTATTATTAGGCACTTGTTGTGGTTGTTGTCTCAAATTATTGACACTATTGATGAGCTTATTATCACTTTTATTGTCACAATTCATATCACTATCGTTGTTGGAAACGGTCAGACCGTTAAGTTCGTACGTATTATTAGGTAACTTCTCGATGACCGTCACCTCGTTATTGCCTTCAGTGGTCTCATCGCAGCTGACATTACCCGACAACATGGATATCGAGTCTTCACTCGAGGCAGGAGTGCTCGTCAACGGCTGAGATCCATAACCGCTGGACAGTGCGCTGGGAGTACCGGCTGTATTGATAATCTCTTTGATTGGATGTTTCGTTGTTAAGGAATCCGTTTTACGGGCCGTTGAATCGTTGGTCACATTATTGTTTTGTCTATCAATTTGTTCTGTACTCGACTTTGTTTCGTTCAAAACAATGTTAATTTCATCCACTTCTTCGACAATGTCATCCTCATCCTTGTCGTCACTGTTTACGTCCTCTTCTTCGCTCTCTTCGGACAAATGTTGTTCTTCTCGACTGAACTGTTCCTCAAGTAGTGTTCGCATTGGTTTCACCTGTTTTGATGAGTGCGGACTTAACGCACTCAATGGTGAACCTAATCAATAAAATTATTAGATGTTATAATAATGTTAATAATAATAAAATTTAAAAATATAAATAACAAAAAATATATATAAAGTTTTAAAAAAACCAAAAATAATGGTGCAATTGATAATAAAAATAATTAGAAAAAGTTGACATAAAAAAAACGGTGAAACAAATAACAAACAAAAAAATCAAACCAAAGGAAATCAAACTGATTTTAAGCATACATTTACCGGACGACTGTCTAAGCGCTAGATTGAGATTGAAGTTTAGGTTCAAAAAGTTTGGCCGATTGGCTGAACGTTTGGATTAACAGTGGTGTGTGTGTGAAGACATTAAGACAAATATATATATTTATCAATAAATTTAGATAATGAGATAAAAAAAATTAAAAAATTAATAATATATCAATTTAACGACAATTGACACACAAATTGATAATTAAGATTTTTTTGTTTAATAATTAGCACATTATATAAAACAATTATCCAATTTTATTTGTACTAATTTATTGGTTAGGTTAATAACAGGTAACCAATGATTTTACTAAAACTATTATAATTTAAAATAAAATATATCCATAACAAATTAATAATTATTGTTTTTTAATAAAATAGATTACAATAACCTAGAATTTTCATATATATATTTTTTTATGTAAAAAATACATAAAAATTGTAAAATTTTGTAATGTAAAATTTGCTAAATAAATTATTATTACTAATTCTTTTTAACAATATTAAGTTATTATAAATTATATATAATATCAATATTATTGTTATTATATCAATTTACATATCACAAATTTATCATGGATATATTTTATTTTATTTAAAAAAAATTATTCATAGATAGATAACTATACAATACCAATAATGTTAGTACAAATAACGGACAATAATTATATTGTATATAAATTTTCTATACTATATAACTACAGTATATAATAACTATAATTATTTTTGATAAGAGTTGACATCTAAATACCTGTTATTGTGTTTCTAATAGGATTTACGGCATCACTCGGTGTCGACACTGTGGACGTCGGCGTCGACTTGCTTTGTGAGTCTATAGATATGTTTCCACCGCTTAGAAGATTTGAAGCCTTTTGTCGGATCCGATCGAAACCTTCGTAAGCCGTGTTTGTAATGACCGACAAATCAAAAGACGAATCAGATTTTTCGAGTTTCGTAAAACTTCCGCCAACTGTAGGACTAATGAAAGCCATATGTGCGGCCATATTGGGTACACTAGCAGTCTTGCGGATCAATGCCTCCTGATTTATAGCAGTCGTATTTAATTTGCCTTTTCTGGCCAACAACTCTTTGACGGCCACCTCTTGACGAAGTCGGTCGAGTGTTAGTATGCTTTCGACGGCAGAGACACCTTTAGTGTACCTTTCAATATAACTTTCGCCGTCCAAAGTGGTCATGTCTTGACCCGAAGCAGCCATCAGTGCCAGTGTTTCGCGATCTTCGATATCCTCACTGGCTTTCGGTATGGAAGACACTATTTCATAGGTTAGTCCCGTAGCTGTCAGACAATCTGTGCGACGGATACTCTTAAATAGGCGTCCGGTGAGCGACTGTTTCTTATAGACGTTTATTGAGATCCGTTTCCTCAACACCAGCTCCATAACGGCCGGATGACTGAGCCGTACGGACACTTTGAGGATCAGGTATATGCGTTCATTCGGTTGGGTCACACGATTCAGATACTGTGAGTCGTGTATCGATGAATCCCATACGGCTACAGACGACACATCCTTTTCACAGTAACTGACAATAGGAAGCGTAAAGAATTGGCTGCCATTATGTTCTTTAGGTAGGATTGAGTTCAGACCAGATATCTGATCCATGTTTGATGATATGCTCATATCGTCCGCTAATATATTTTAGAAAATAATAATAATAATAATGATTAAAAAAAAGTGTTTAATCATTTGTATCTAATTTATTTCTAACTATTTATATACTGTATATATTTAATTTTTATTTTTATTTAATTTCTTTTTTGTTTTAATAATTTAAATATAGTATTATAAGTGAATATTTTGTAATCTAATTATAAAAAGCAAAAAATACTTGTATAGAAAAAAAAAACTTTGCGACCTTTTTAACAAAATAATTATATATATTAAATAATATATATAAATTAAATCATATATTGTACATTACACAGTACACACTATATTGTTTTCAAAATTTAGACTAATACATACTAATAATAATAATAATCAACTTTATAAATTTTATGTATAAAATTACTATACATGTAATATAAATTGAAATTGAAAATTAAGGTCAAATCAAAATCAACAACAATAACAACAAAAAGTTTAGCAACAAATTGGCTATTAATGTGTGCAATGTTTTGCTCTATTTTTAAGTATATACTCTAATATATAGATAGAAAAAAAATTGTAAATACAATTTGGACAATGAAGTGCTCATCGCATCAATCATTTTATTCAAAAGGCATCAAAACCCTCAATTACTTTATCAAAAATAAAATAAAAATCCTTAACTTATTTTTTTTATTATCAAAACAAAATTTTATATTGAATTCTCATTAAAGGGAAAGCAATGACGTGTGTGTGTATGTGTTATATAATATATTTCATAAATAAATATTACATAACTTGTCTCTAAAAACAAAATTACAAATTAGATTTCAATGGGCGATATCTCAAAAAAAATGTTTCAATTGTTACGAAGGGCTTAAAAATACTATTATTTATTTTTATTATAACTATTTATTTTGTAAAGTTATAAATACATTAACAAGCATTTATATGCCAAACATATACTGTAATATTATAGCTAAAGTAAATAAACCTTTTTTTGTTTTGTTTGCAAATAATAATAAAAAATTTATTAAAAAAAATAGTTTTCCTAAAATAAAATCTTAATTTTTCTAAATTGCATTTTTTCTCTCTCTTTAAAAAACGTGTTTTAAATATCTTTAAATATTTTTTAACATTTAAATATAATATTTTCTCATTTAATACACACACATACAGAAAATGGATGGCATTTTTTTGGTGTCTCTTCAAAATTGTTTAGACGATTATAAAGTAATATATAATAATAAAAATGAAGTGATTTCGTAAACAATTTTCTCTCTGTTTTGTATTATTATTATTATTATAATTGTTTTGACCTCAACTTCGCTTAACTGATTTTCTCCAAAAAGTTTCTTTAAAAAAAATAATACAATAATAAGCTTTCAGTGCTATAAACTGTTTGGTGGTGTGGATCAAGAAAGACATCGTCAACTAAAACAAGTGGTTAATACATACATATAGTGTGTGTGTGTTGTATATAATGAGGACAATAATAATATCATAAGACTAGAAGAAGTTAAGATATTATATATAAATATATATATATATATATATAAAGTGAGAAACACAAGAGTTTTTTATTTGAAAATAAAAAGTCACAACACTTTACTGAATATAACAATCATTATTATTATTATTACAATCAAATCGTTATTTGAATGACTCATAAAAAGTCTTTATATATTACATATACGCTATAATTATAAGCAATTTAAGTGAACGAAAAAAGTCATTAACATTGAAAAAAATAGTTTTGACAAAAATTATTAAGCGTTTATTTATATGTACAATGTTTTATATAATGCCTTTGAAATAATTAATCTAAATATTTTGCATAAATATTTTTTATGATAATTGCTAGCAAAAATATTTTTAACTATAATATTATATATATATATATTTTGTTTTCTTTTACTTCAAAATAAAGTTTTTACGCTAAATGGCAAACAAATCGATCACTTTCTACAATTACCGACTAAATATAAATATATACTAAAAGATAGCAATTTTTCTTAAGAGTCAATATACTTAAAATATAGATAATAAAAATTCAACACATATTATTAGTAAAGCATATTTATATGTGTAGATAACTATTAGATTAATCACAATAACAACAACACTAGCAATAGGAAGTAAACAAATTTCCTAAAGTCATAAACCATTTATAATTATGTTTGACTTTTTAATATTTACTTAAATATTATATATATATATTTTAATGTAGTTTGTTTGGGTTAAAAAATCTACTATTATTTACATAAGTATTATCGATAAATAAATTTATATTTACAATATACAATATATTACATTAACTAAAAAAATGATACCTGTCATCCTATATTTAAGTATAATTTCATTTAAAAAAATCAATCAAAAACATTATAATATCATACTTTCAATATAATGGTAAATTACAATTTGTATATAATATATATTGTTTTAGGTAATATCACATCATATCTCCATTAAATTTTATGCCATACATTATTTAGCCTATATATATAAATATTTAATAATATTTCATTAATATTCAGTTATCCTATTTTTTGAAGTAAATTAATAAATATATAATTTTATTATAATTTTTTTTTAATAGAAAAAAGATAACCCATTAAAAAATACAGTACATCTAAAATTGCTATTCAAATAAATTAATTTTTTATAAAAAAAATTATTTCAACAACACTACAAAAACAATAGCAAAAAAATTAGACAAATATTTAATAAACATGAACTTTTGCATATATTTAAAAGATGATAATTTTTTTTAAAAAAAAACTTAAATTTATTCATAAACATATTAATTAAATTCAATTAAAATTTTTCTAGTGTTAGACATAATTAACAAAAACAAAACAAATTGAAAGTTCATAATTATTATTTCAGATTAAAAACATGTCAAAATTAATTATTATTATAAGCACCTAATTTCAAAAAAAGTTTGTAATACAAAATATAAATAATTTATTGTTATTTAATTTTTTTAATTAAGTATTCATATAAGTTATATAACAACTTATTTTTATTTATTAATAATTATTATTATTATTAATTTAACACTATCTACAAGCAAAATCAACCAATAAATAATTCAATCGCAACTATTACATAGAGTCCTATACTAATTAATATATCAAATAACAACTTATAGAAACTAACTAAATATAAATTATTGATAAAATTTATGTTTGTTTTGTGACCATTAATCAATATGAGATTTAAAAAATAAATTTAAAGTATAATTAACAGTCAATATACAATATAATATATCATATAAACCTGATATTAATAAAACATTTTAAAATATAAAAATTAGATGACATCAAACACAACACGACTAAAAAAAGGATACACCAAATAAAATTGATTTCTAATAATATATGTCTAATCGATAACCAAAAAAAACCAAACTGTACTTTATTTAGATATTTGACTACAGTATAGATACTATAGTGTCATCATTAGTACTACTATTGCAAAAAAATAAGTAAATACTTTACTCAATACCCAATACACTTAACACACAAAAAATACTGTATTATAGAAACTGACTGTTCAATAGTTGTGTGAACACACATACACTACTGTATATGTTTATGGATTGAGATCTAAAATAAGTGCAATTTATCAAACAATTCAAAGAAAAACTTTTTTTTGTGTTGTTTGACGCGAAAAAAAGTCAAATATTAAGTAATGTTTATAATTAGATTAAAAGGATTGACAGAGAGAGAGAGAGAGAGAGAGAGAGAGAGAGAGAGAGAGAGAGAGAGAGAGAGAGAGAGAGAGAGAGAGAGAGAGAGAGAGAGAGAGAGAGACTATCTAAAAAATCTTATCATTTTGTGAACCAAACAAATAAGTATTTTCGATATAAAATCAATATCTAAAGTGTGTGTGAAGGAGAGAGAGAGAGAGAGAATGAGAGAGAGAGAGAGAGAGAGAGAGAGAGAAAGAGAGAGAGAGAGAAAGAGAGAGAGAGAGAGAGAGAGAGAAAGAGAGAGAGAGAGAGAGAAAGAGAAAGAAAGAGAGACTTCAATGACTTCTCATTAATTATGATGTTTAAGTGCCGACTACTCCAACTATAATATTTGTAAAACTAAATAATAATGGCTCTCTCTCTCTCTCTCTCTCTCTCTGTCTTTTAACTATTAATAACTTTTAACGATGACATAGAAATTGTATCATTAAATAGTGAACAATTGATGTAACAAATAAAAATCGTTACAAATAGAAATTATACAATAAATTCACTAAAAACTACTGATTTTATATGAGATATGATGCCTGTTGTCTAATACTATCGATTTTGTAATTTTCTAACTTTTGGTTTAACATTAGATATTAATAAAATCAATTTTTTACAAAAAAAATATAAATTTATAAACAAATATTTTACAAAACTAAATAAATCAAAAAAAATTTTGTGACACTTACTATTGAGATCAAGAAAGATGACTGGAGTGTGAGCTTCCATACCCGGCGGTGGTTCCCAATTGGCCGGTGCGCCCGGTATTTCCGAGTTGGGCACCGGACACGTAACGGCATTTCGTTCTTCGGTAAGACTAACCCATTGGTCAATCAGACTTTGTTCCCTTTCGTTGTCTTCTTTGCTTTTATTTGGTTTATTTATAAGTCGTTTGATTTGGTCGTCCAAATAGTCGCGACGTCGGGCCAGCGCTTCTGTCCATTTTTCACGCAATACAGTCAAGTCTTCGTCTTGATAGGAGTCCAACGGTTTCTGACACTGAAGTCGTACACAAACACAACCGATTGATATCGATTTGATTGACTCGCAGATGACGGGCAAAGTACCCGAATTCTGGACGGGTATCACTTTAACTGCTAATCGTCTTTGTTGTCCCTGTCTTAGCTGATACACACCACCCGTTTCCGTGTCTCCCATCTTTGCACTGACTTCTACAGCATTATACTCTCCATTGTCGTTGATTTCCTGTATTTCAACCCATAACTCAATCTTGCGTTTCAGTTCTGCCCATCGGTCGGCCAATGAGCGACATATCTTAAGCTGTGCGTCTGCGACACCCCATCCAGGTTTCAATGGACTCAAACCGGACACCCGATGGCCCCAAACTTCTATAGACAGTGCGCCGTCCGTACAGTGTTCGAGAAACTCTTCCGTCAATGGAATTGCAAACTCTTTTTGGTGATTGAATTGAAATACTAGTTCTTCTTTTTGTTCGCCATTTGTCGTACGATTGAATGGGTCTTTAGAGGCGGTGATTGTTGTGGTGTCAACATTGGAGGGAACAACTGTCGAGTCGTGAAATCCCCACAACGAATACTGACAGAAGACAAAGTTTGACAACGATATCGGCAAACCGCGAGCGCTTTTGATGGTCACTCTCAGCACTACTTGATTACGACCGGAACCGTCAACTTCGGTACCGCTGTTGTCGTAACCGCTGCATTGGCTCATTGTTTCCATCGATGCGTCGGCCATTCGTTCGCCGAGATGACCGGCAATGCGGCCAAACTCAATGTGCAAACGACCGGCCACTTCGCCCTGTTGTGAAATAATAGGTACGTTGTAGTCGAGTATGACGTCATGAACGAGTACATCGAGGAATATGTTGGCGACACCAATCAGATGGTGATTCTCTTGTAATTCATAGAACGGATCGTTAGCCGGCGATAAGTCATCTGTTTTGTTACTATTGTTGTCTGAGTTTATGTTGTCGTCTGAATCGCGTTTTGATTGTCGATCTTTCCATTCCTGATACAGTTCTCGCATTTCAATCAAATTGTTTTCAAACTTTTCCATCGACCAGATCTGTGTCGTCCGGTTTTTGCGTCGAACCAAAAATGCCGGTTCCGATACAAACGAACCCTTTTTACGATTTGGACTCAGATTAGTGGCCGGTATCTGAAGTGTCACCTTATATTCGGTACATTTTTGCATTTCGTCGGCAATAAGGTTTGCTTCGTAGGCCAATGTATTGGCTCGTACTATATCTTCGCGCAAATGGTTTAGACTTTTCTTGAACAGATCGTCCCGTTCTTGAGCCCACTTATCCATCTTTGACTGAACACTTCCCGGACTCATTAGATTAGTCGTTGAACCGGAAAACCCGCGGACACCCATTTGACCAGCACTTGGATACGGATCGAACACATTATTATAACTGTACGGTGCATATGGTGTGCCGGGCGACAGATAACTGGCCAACTTTTTCAACTGTTTTTCATACATTTGTCGCTGATCTTCAAGGGCTTTGTTTTTATCTTTTTCGTACTGTTCTTCCATGGCTTTCATAGCTCCCTGAATGGGATCGTTGACCATCTCATTCATCATCAGCTCTTCTCTGGCAAACTCGTAATCCATGGGCCGATCGGTCTGTTTATGGTCAGAATGTTTGGGACAGTTGAGTCTGAAGAAGTGATTGTTACCCCAGAGAATACGTGCGCCGTTTTTCAGGCCAGTCCTCTCTTTGATAACCGAACCGTTAACACAAGTTCGGGCCCCGTCTAGTGGTTCGATAACTAATTCGTTTGTTAAGGTATTCACTTCAATAATACAATGCTCGGGCATAATACCGATACCCGATAGTTGAATATCCTGTTCATTGGGGGCATCGCTGCGTCCGATAAGCGTTTTGTCTTTAAGATAGTAGACTAACAGTTCATTTAGCGATGGATCGGCGTTTAAGTTAACCAAATAGTATTTACTGTTTTCCACACGAATACCGGAGCTTTGAACAGATATACCCATCTTTTCGAGCGCCTGTTGTCTCTCCTGATGTATGATCTCTGTCTTACGGAGCTTCTCCTCCCACGTCTGTTCCATTGTTTGGATCAACTTTTCCGATTCGACGAGCCGTTCGTAGAGATCGGACTGTTGTGTAGCGTTCATGAGCTGAGCCCTTAGCTGATCTACTTCTTCGCGCAGCTCACGAATGATCCTATTGTTAGGATCTTCATTGACCACCGCGTGATTTACAATACGTTTGGCCCGATCAGCGTAACGCAGTGTAGACAATGTCTCTTCAAAGTTATCGGCCGCCGGGCTAATGGTGGCCACCATCACAGTCTTTGAGTTGCCGCCCAAATTGTCTTTGAGAAGCCATGTGAGCACTGAATCCCGATATGGAACAAATTGTTCTCGACTTTTGCCGGACGACTGGTCGGCCAATTTGGAGATCACTAAGCCTAATGTGGTCAACGATTTGTTGATATTTGAACCCTCTTTGAGTCTATCGCCGACAGCACCCGTTTTGACCGCTCGCTCACTGCCGGCCAAATCAACTAAACTCATTTTGGATACCTTTTCTCCCGTCACGCCGACGGTATTGTCAAACACAGAACAGGTCAACGTTATGGTAAACACGGCATGGGATCTACTGGACTCCGAGTTCATGTTAGTGGCGGCCACTGTTCGGGACTTATTGCCCTCAGTCATCAAGTTATCAATTTCTTTGAATGAACTGACAGCCAATGTGGACAGTCCGTCCACATACGGACCCAATAGGTTATGTTCGCGCACTTTTAGGTTTTGTTTGGTGCCTTTGGGATCGAGAAGATCGTGAACTTTTTCATTGTATATCTCCATATACGACACCTCGATCTTGAAATTAGTATTGGGATCACCATTGCTGGCTATCCTCTCAAATATAGCGTCACACAGTCTGGGTATGAGTCCCTTATCGTTGGGCGTACCCATCATTGTGTATGATTTGCCGCTACCGGTCTGGCCATAGGCAAAGATACAGGCGTTGTAGCCTTCAAACGAGCTCTGGAGCACAGGTATGCCCAACTCGTTGAACACCTGATCCTGACTGGCAAAGTGTGCGTCCGATTCATTGAATGACCAAAAACAGTGATCAAATGCAAATACCTGTATATATATGATATATATATATATTATATGATATATTTCGTTGCCATTTAGTTTAATGTATAATAATTGGTTATTTTAGAAAAATCATGTGTTGATAGCAAACAATTTATTTAAATTTTAGTTTTTTTATGTATATTTATAGAATTTTTTTCCCATAAATTTACAGAAAATACTAAAAATATGTATTTTTAAAGTTTAATGGAAAAAATCTATACGAAGAAAAAAATCATTGATATTTAAAGGGCGTTAAAGTGCACGACGTGTGTATCGATTGTGTATTGAAAAGTGAGAGTCATTACCAAAATATTAAAAAAATCCTAACTTTTTTTATAGCAATTTATTCAAAAAATCTATAGATTTTGAACATTTCAAAAAAGTCATGATCAAGTGAAAATTTGAATGATTTTTTTTGTGCTAAAATTAAAATAAAACTATCGTATTATTTTTAACATGTGTTAAAAGTACATAAAATTGGTTGTATTTTTTTGTTGAAAAAATAATGCAATAGTAAAGTGTGTGTTCATTGATATCAAGTCACGAAAACGTATTGCTTATATGTCTGTCTGAAAGTGTATGTGTGTTTGTATATGTCTGAGAGCGCATCCAATTGATGTCTAATAACAAAACAATAGCCAAAAAATAAAAACATATCTTTCTTTATATACATATATAAATAGATATATAAAGTATATACTGTTTAATGGGTTATAAATTATACCAATAGAAACAATCGGATACTAATATCAAATATATTGTGTAATATTTCTAATACAGTATATACAACAGTGTACACTGTAGTATAAATAAAGATAAAAACAAAATTTGCTGATATTTGTAAAAGTACTGCCAATTTATATATCATATGCAATATATTATACATTTAGAGAGTAATAGATGAATAGAAAAGGAAGCAAATAGTATACATAAAGTAATGGATAAAAAAAAGTTATCCAATATTATTGTATATCGTTTCCCCCAATGATTTAATGCCATTAAACAATTCACTATTGAATAATAATAATAATTTTATTATTATTATTATTGTAAAATTATTAGGAAAAATGTATATAACTTTATTATTTTGCTACTCTTTTTTCCCCATATATATCGACATCAAAAACTATATTAAACCAGTTTTTATGCGAAACCATTGGGGAAGAAAAACAAAATCTTTTCAAGATTTTACGATACATTATATAATAGTTTTATAATAATAAAAAAAATTATAAAAAAATAAATAAATAAAAAGTATGTTTAATATAATCTCAATTAATTTCCATACATTTCCAAACCCATATATGACTCACACACACGTTTGCAATATATAATTATGTCATTTCATACATACAAATAAATGAAAGGTTTGAAATATATAAAAAACTAAAAACAAAAATTATATAAAATAAAAAATAGTAATAAAAATAAAATCATCATTATTATTATTATGATATAATTAATATTTTCAAAAAATACAAGTCCTACTACTACTGATTTTATAACGGTTTGTATTAATAGCAATAAATCCCCCATTAATATTCATAAATAGTATTTTGCATAACATTTTACATATATTAATAATAAGTAGAGAATATATATAGTATTATAAACTATATATTATAATAATACTGTAATAATAATATGTTGTATTTATTGTTTGTAATTTGATATCTGAGTACAAAAAAATTTCATTTGAAGGAAATTGAGCTCATATTTAGCTGATAATTGTCAATATAATAGGCTATTTAAGTATCGTATATAATATAAGATCATAATAATCATGATTAGATATATATATATGTGTTTATATAAATTATATTTACAGTATATATATATTATTATTATTAAAATTATATACACATCTATATCCATAACAACATTTAATAATCTAACATTATTTTTAATAACATTTAATAACAAAAAATTGTAATTTTTTTAATTGAAAGCCATAATCTGGCAGTTAATTGTATTATACCATTATTATAAAACATGGTATATGACGGGTCATACCCCTCTATCTGTAATTGTATCTATGGTTCAATTGATAATATACACTATTCAACACTATATCATTTATTTAATACATGTATGATATAAATAAAAATCATTGTTAATGTATTGTACAGTAAATTTGTGTTATTATTATTGTGCAAACAACAAAAGTCGCTGATAATAAAATTAATCAAAAAATTTTCCCCAACAAATAAAATACAGTCTGTTATACTGTATATACCCGTATGAAAACAATAATATGATTTAAATCAATATATTTCTCATGTATTGCCAAAATCACTGGCAATACATTTGAAACAATACCACTAAAAAACATAACTCTAACCCTCTTAATGGTTATGCTCTACAAAACTCCTTTTGTGAACAACTTTCTAAATATAATAATAGTCTCATATTTTTATGACGATATAGTAGTATTGTATTATTACCTATTATATATATATATATATATAACTCTATTTTTCAATTATTACAATAAGTTATGTAAGCTATTTATTTTTATATCATATATATAATTATATACGAGCCATATATATATATATATATATATATACTGTATAACTCGTGTCATAAATAACATACTAACTGGCCTTAACTGGTAAAAAGTAATAATAATAATAATAATATAGTCATACCGTTACCTATAATAGCACAACACACATATATATAATATGAAATACCACAACAATCGCACACACAATATAATGATTGCGATAAACATTTAGATATTTAATATACAGTATAAATAAAAATGAATTTTTCAGTATAGAAATATAAGTCATTATAAATTGCATTGTAAGGTACTGTATATGAATTTTTATGGTTTAATTTTATGTGTCTTTAATATATTATTTTAAAAATAAAATAAATAATAAAACATATAATCAGTTATCATTATACATTCAACTACAGTATTTGCCCATACGGTATATAAAATAAAAGTAGTGTCTATTTGATGGTAACTATAAATAATAAAAAAATTAGGACTACTTTTATTATTATTACAATTATTTTTTCTCATAGTGTATATAAATGGATACAGACATTATGTATTTTTCAGAGAAAAAAAATCAAATCAAAAAAACTTTAAATTACATAATTCAGTGAAATTGTTCAAAGAAATGGTGTACTAAAAATAGCTTAATATTTATTTTTATTATTGTTATTATGTATTACTGTTACTACTATATGTATGAGAGTTCAAATGTAATCCCAATATAAAAATAATAAATTAAACTATAATTACTATACGATCGATGGGTTAACTTAACGATTACTACTACTACTAGACGACGACTGGTTTTTTTGCTCATTTATCATCAAAATGTACACAATTAAAGACAATAATGTTTTGTTTTTATTATATAATATATAAGTTATTGGCATTCAATAACACGGTGCCGATTGTGATGGCATCTCAATCATATGATTGCTTCTCTATTGATTGCACACAACAACAACAGTTATTGCGTGCCATTCATTCAGTTTTTGTCATCTCAAAGGCTGTGGTGACAGCACAGGGACTACCCGTTTGTTAATTCAATTGATGCGTAACTCGTAGGTTAAGCAAACAGTTAGATCTCTCTCTCTCTCTCCTGAATCGCGGGACATATCATCCTCAGTGAACCGTCCAATTTGACTAACTTGTCGTCCCTTTTATTTATATATATATATACCAAAAAAATAACTACAATACGACAAATAGCTGACAATATTAGTGCCACTGATTTGTGTGTGTGTGTAGGGGTTTAAACCATATAATCAAACGACACGAAAATTAGAGGAAGCAATCAGTGAGCTAACTGTGCGATCAAATTAATCATTTGATTTCTAATTCTTTTGTTTACATTTGATATTTATTACCAAAAAAATTTTTTTCAATCAATGTTTGAACAAAAAAAGTCTTTCATTTAAAAAAATACAAAACAAAAGAGTTACTCAAGAATTTACTATTATATATATAAGTGTGGAAAAAATGTGTCTCCAATAGACTAAACAATAGGATAGACCTACCAGTCCTTTTAGTGTTCAGACCTTTGCCTTAGATTTTGATTATAATATTGTATCAGTTATATCATTCACAATTGTGACCGTCTTTTATGTTATTCAACAACAAACAAAAAATAAAAAAAACGAGAGACAAAAGTCGACAAAATTTTCAAAATAACATTAAAAACCTAATATAAAAATCTTTTCAACAAATTTTCAATTACATAGAATCAAACAGATTGAGAGACAGACAGAGAGAGAGAGAGAGAGAGAAAAATATTTTATACATTTTTTTCGAGTAAGCTTTTTGTCACTAATAATAAAACTAATACACTAGAGATTCCTGTATGTATAGCAAACAGAATCCATAAAAATGTTTGTGAAAAAATCACACCATAAGTCATAATATACCGTACATTTGATTTTATGATTCAATAATCCTTTTCATCTTTCATTTCTGGTGATGTAATCCCTTACAAATGTCACCAAAAAAGAAAAACATTTTTTATATCATAAATACTATTAAATTACAGCAGTATTAGTAGTAATGTCTCATTTAATTGATACTGACATCAACTCTAGCGATGCAAAAGTGATTTCTATTTCTTACTAAATCTAATTATTCATATCTTTTCCATATTATATTTGACTATTGATTCATAGCATATAAAAATCACATAAAAATAAACATATATACTGTATATAAGCATATTATTATTATTATTATTAGATAAATAAATTACTTATTTGTTAAGCAAATATCTACATATATGAGAAATATATTATCATTTTTTTATTGTTGATAATATATGTAAGTCCTTTGTGTGTATGTCTGTCTCTGTTAAGACATTTATAGTGTGAATGCGAGTGTATCGGAGCTAACAATATTTTTTTCAGTTGATGGTTGACATATCACATACTAAAATACATAATCATTTACTAGTAGAAAAATAGAGGAAATGTATATATAGTTTCGTGTCATTCATACATAATTTACT